TTTTCTTCCTGGTTCTATTTTTTATCCTCAACATTCATCTCCCATAAATTGGCAACTGCTTTGGCCTTTACCAAATGGATTCTAGCTTGTTGAATTGGCATCCCCTGCCTGTCTTGGAAGGAGCAGGTCTCTATGCCAACCATATCTCTGCCAGTTGAAACTTGCCTTTCCCAGTCTTCATTTATCCTGTCCTGAAACGATGCAACTATTAATCTTGGTTGACATTTTCCAAAATACTAATTGAGAAGTAAGAGAGCAAACAATCCAGCCCTAAAGGTAAAACTACACTCCACTTAATGGCCTGCTTCATCATAACCAAGCACGGGGATCCCAGGGAGAGGCAAAGAGAAAGAGGTAATAGATGACAGCATCTAATGAGGCTAGAAAGAGGGAAAGAAAAAAATGGTTATATATGTATTGGGGGGGGCAGGTAGTGGCAAGGCTGCTAAGGAACTAATACAAACCACCATGGATGAAGTTAGATGAGTTGTGCACAAAAAGAAATGGGGGGAGGGTTTCTATAAACATTTCCTATAAACATTTCTCTCCAAAACAAAGAAATGCTTTGAGGTTTTTGTTTTCATTTCCATGTATTTGTGAGCCAGAAAAGTCTGAAGAGTAATAAATACATAAATTTTGAGGTTTAAGGAACATTGTCTTCAAATATCTTATCTTACTATGAAAAGATGTGTGCCTGCATTGACTCATCTAACTTCATCCCTGGTGATCTGAATAAGAGACAAAATGGGTGGTGCCCTATTTCTCTTCTTGCATGGCCTCATGGGTTGGCTTAAGTTGACATTGACAAACCATATTGGATTGTCTTTAATTCTCCGCCTGTTTTTACTCTTTTCACTCTGCATCTCTCTCTCTCTCTCTCTCTCTCTCTCTCTCTCTCTATCTATCTATCTATCTATCTATCTATCTATCTATCTATCTATCTCTATCTCTCTCCAATGATATAATATTAAATGTGAAATTCAAACTTTCTAGTCTACCTTTATGTAACCATTTAAATCAAGAAAAGTGCTGCAATTCAAATTCTTTCCAGAAAAAAGGGATGTCTTTGCCCCATTTCTTAGTGGAATTATCTTGATAGCGGCAAAGGAAATCCATTATATATTTCCCCAGGGGACTTATATATCTGCTATGTCCTAGGATTCTGTTCCCACATTATTTATTACCAGAGCTGACTAAGATTCAACCTGGTATTTGAAATGGATGCCAAAGCTGAATCCCAGTGAGCCCTGGCAGTAATTAAGTCTATACATATGTAACATTCATAGCTACTGTTTTCTTGCTTGGAAATTCTGCCAGTATGGTCAGCCCAGCCCAACTTATCAGAGTGTTAAAGTTCAGTTCTCTCTCTACATATAATTACATAATTATATAAAAGTTGTTTTAAAAGGGAAGATAAAAACTAGTACAAACTATCTTACAAAGTAAGAAAAAAAATCGAAGAGAAACTAAAAGTGCAAGAAAGAAAAAAGTAAAATAGAAAAGAACCAAGATACAAAGAAGTAGCTTCCAATTTTCTTTACAGCAGCTATAAGTACAATTATAAATTTACTTCTGTATGGTTACAGCATAACTCTCTTATTTCTATAATCTATCCTGTTTAATCAAAATCATAAATTCATTTTTTCTGTTTTAGACTAGTAAAGGATTTCCAGTCAGCAATAAATGTAGATATTGTCTTTCCCTAATCAAACAAGTACATTTGGCCTTCTCAGCAAGTTCCATCATCTTCACCAACAATTCCTCCATTATGGGCATTGCTAAATCTTTCCATCTTTGTGCACAGAATAATTTTGTTGCAGTTATCATATAAAAAACAAAGTTCCATAACTTTTTTCAAACTATCTGTCCATCAAGCCGCAAAAAAAAAAACCCTTCTCTGGTCTCAGTTTAGAATTTTAACAACCTAATACCATCTGCTCTGACTTATTGGTGAAAAGATTGATCTCTTTCACTTAATAATGTATAATATTTTATATTGTACTTACTTTAAGTTTAAAGTAGTTACTTTAAAGCTAGAATAATTGCCATCATCAGGAATTCTGTTTAAAAAGAGAAGTGGAAAAAGATGTTTACAATTCTCTTTTCTAGGCTGAGCATGTCCAATTTTCTTTTAGGTTGTGGGCTTGACTCCTTTTGTCATTGTACTTAAGCCAACCAGAGTTGCAAGTTAGGCAGAAAAGAACTTTGGGAACCTCATAAAGCAGATGCCTTGAGAATCTCTAAAAGAGACACAACTAGGTGCACATTGCATTAAGCCATGATGCGCCTTGTTTGGACCAATTTTATTGGAGTATCAATCAATTTCATTATGTTCTATAAGCTATCATGAATAATGTAGTGTAATGTTTGAACCCATAAATAATGATTTGTTAACAAATCATGGTCTAAGATGATCAGTGATGTAACAAAAGTAGCTATTGAAACCCTCATATTTTTTAAAGTCTCATGGCTTAAAAATAATGTACAATATTGAATGGAGGCTTGTTCAACTTCAGAATGAAACAAGCAACCTGAACAAGCAATCTCATTTATTCCTGAGAAAATGGAAAGGGGTGATTTCACACACTGTAAATATTTTATCAGATCTCTCATATGAGTAGCAATGCATTGGGCAGTAATGTAGTTATACTGGATATGAAACAAAGCTTTACATATGATTGCCTATTGTTATTAATGTACTACCTACAGCTTAACTTGCAATGCATTTTTTTTCTGCTTTGTAATTGTGCAGGCATTGGATTCCTATTTAAAAAGCATACAAGCAACTTCACAAACAGGTTTGGAATTTGCTTGTTTTCTGAATTCATTAAGGTTATTCGCTGATCTTTAGTACAATGTTGTGGGAGATCAAAGCTGAACATCAAACAGCATGAGACAATCTCTAAAAATATGCCTATTACAAGGAGCACTATAACACAACACAAAGGGTAGCTTTGAAAAGAGGCATGCATTCCTTCAATCACAGGTGTCTCCATACTGAAATCAAGGGGAGGTTGGTAAATGAGTGATGGAGAAAACAAAGCCTCTAGTAGAGACAGGCTGATTTTTGACAGTCACAGAGAAGTGGGCAAAACAAAAGAAAGAAAGGAGGATATGTGGAAGAGAAAGGAGGATATGTGGGAGCCAGATGGACAGAGAAGGCAGAAAAAATAGGAGGCAGCTGGCCAGTGCAGAGAGACAAAGAAAAAGTCAAACGTAGCAATTCTTGGATTCTCGTCTATGGACTGGTTACCTTAAATATGGGAAAATAGGAATTTTCTTACCTCTGTAATTCTTGGCTGTTTTCATCTATTCTCTTTTCTAAATTCTCTCCTGTATGAGATTCCGTTAATTTCTCTGGACTAATAGATCTTTGGTGTTGAGTGACTTAGATATTCGTTGGTCACACCAAAATAATTAACTCACAGTAACAATGAGTCAAATTAGATAGTTCTCCTTAAACAACTTCTAAGTACTCTACAAAACTTTGCACAGTTATAAAAATTGCAGCGTTGTACAATTTCCAATTATAAGCTAGTTCAGTTTCAACAGTTTATCAATTTATCAAGGGTTTGTGATTTTAATACAATATACTTAACAACACCAAAGGAAGGGGCTGGGACTTCTTTCAAGATTTTTTTTTTAAACAGTGTTTTCGTTAACTAGAATGTCATCAGTAATGAAGAGGATTAAGGGAGTTATTGAATATTTTCAATAATTATTAATGAACAAATTCTGCCATAATACAGAGTTTATACATTTTTCTTATGTTGAAATTGACTTTCCCCCCCTAATCTTTAAAATCTGAGCTATGTGTTTGATTTAGGAGAAAAAAATAATTTGATTCAGTGTTATTGTGAGTTAATTATTTTGGTGTGACCAACGAATACTTAAGTCACTCATCATCTAGGATCTACTAGCTCAGAGAAATGAATGAAATCAGGAGAGAATTTAGAAAAGAGAATAGATGGAAATAGCCAAGAATTACAGAGGTAAGAAAGACTGTTATTTTCACATATTTCTTTACGGTAACCAGTCAGGTTTTCATTGGGAAACCTTTTTTCTCTATCCAAGGTACATATAACTTTCTTCTTAACCATCTATCTGAATATCTTTTTATGGCTTCCATGTAGGTTAGAATGCAACCCTTTCCTACACATCAGTGTAAATAATCCACCCTATATTCTTCCAACAAATATATCTCCACATTCAACAACATCCTTTGTAAAGGAAAGAAGGAAGGTAGTCTCCTTTCATTCAACTATATTCAAAACTAACTGTATTCTCTTTTAATCCTGTTCTTTCAAGCATAATAAAACAGATAATAAAAATGTAATTCATTTTTCTAGAGGATTCCATCTCACAGCAGATTGGCAACCTATTAAAAATTTGTCTTCATTTTTTTTGGCAAGAGACTTGTACCTATTCATCTTTAATTTATGAGTGCAGCATTATATGTGACATGTCTTATTGCACCAGACTCCTACATTATTTATCAGCCATTGATTGATAGCTCATGCCCACAACCCTCCATGCAATATGCTCATCTAGAGTTGGTGGGAGGAGGGAATAGGACAGAAAGCTTAAATGGCCAGCAGCTGGGGATATGCACAAGCAGGAAGCATCTGCTTCTCTTTCCCAGCTTTGGGCTCATTTCTTTTCTCAGACATGGCATGTCAATTCATGGGATGACTGTGTCATAGGTGGGAAGTTTTTTGTGGATGTTAAGAGTTCATCAGAAATTTCAAGTCCCCAGTTCAGTGGCAAGAATTGCTTTTTTTGGAGATCATGAAAATTTAGTCAGATCCGATGAGCAGGTTTGTTGAGGTGATGGAGAACGTGGTGTTATACATCTGGAAGATACACAGTTAAAAAAGGCTGCTGGTCTCTTACATTGTGGGTCGGACTAAATAAATCCTAGGGAGATTGGAATGTTAGCTTTTAGATTAATCCTGAAGAGACAAGTGACTTAAACCAGGAGACAAGGAGACATAGAGGAGTTTTGTTCAATCCCTTTAATTAAAAAGTAAACAAAGCTTATAGTTCATTAAGTAGAAACAGGAACCATATTTATATGTGTTCTATCACTCCAAGACAGCAGCAGTGTCATATTCAAGAGACAAAAATTATATTCTTTATTTGGAAACAATTGTCTTAGTTAAAGCTGCACAAGAGTCATGATGATATGGAATACATATGGATTGCTGTACATAAATAATTTTTAGTTTAATAAAACACCACCACAACCTAGCATATAAAAAAAACACTGATATAAAAATTCAAAAAGGTATTGTAATATTATAAGATTATATTCCAGAGAATGTAGACAAGAGGTTTCATTAAGAGTAAACATAAAAAAGCACATAGCAATCTTGACTTAATCTCTGAGCCTCCAACATTAGTACATTTATAAGGAACCAAAGGTGGGCAATTTTACTCAGATTAAAATAAGTGATTTGCTATAGAGATGAAAAGAACAGAAAAGTGAATTAAGCACTGACCTGCAACATCTTTTGGAAAGGCAGTTCTGGCATCATTTTCAGTGAAATTTCTTATGCATTGTGGTGCCTAAATTAAATTCTTTGATCCTTCTAGTGAAGGGCAAAAAGAACTTTTGATTAAAACTGCAAATGATATTTGATACCAGATTCATATAGCATAGCATCAAAGGACTGTCCACTATTATTACCTTTGAGTATTTTCTGTAGAAATACCTCCGCAAAGATAATCCTGACATTTCAGCTACCCATTTTGCATACGTTTTTCAAAATATTTAAGAGGTGCTACGTGATATCTTCACCCAAAGTTTCTTCTAGGATGTGGATATGCTGATTTAGTGCATTTGATCACTGTGTGCAAATTGACTGATCCTTGCATTGATCTGTTATGTCTAGATGGCACACAGAAGGAGGTGCCATAATTGGCCATGGAAACGCTTGCATTCAGCCATTCATACAAATATTTTGCACAGACCTGATTAAAGCCATAATTCCAGGATCACTGAATCAGTTCAAGCACAGGTATGCCTGCATTCTATGAATAATAGTTGCACATTCCATTATGGGCCAAAGATTGTCATTTCTCTTCTTAAAGTAATCCAAACAATATTCCGATGAGTAAGAAGATTTGTGGTCTAAAATGGGCATTATGAAGATGCATGAAGAAAAAATAAGTAATGTCATTCTTATTTTGGGAAAGATTACCATCATGTACAGGTAGTCCTCAATGTACTAAACAATTCATTTAATGACTATGGTCAAAAAGAATATTACCATGAAACCCCAGTATTTTCTCACACTCATAGTTCACTAATGATGATATCTACCTCATGGGGTTTTTAACAGTAGGGCTGCATATAATGCCATCTTTGTAACTGAATGCTTCATTGGTTGCAAAAATATTTTTAAAAGCAAGAGGATGCAGAGATGGTTATTTATGCAATCATTTTTGATTATAAGAACAGATGGTTTGGAGCAAAGTCTTTTTACAATCCCAGGAATCTAGTCAGCTCACAAATATGTGCAAGTTCTTCATGAAACCATGATGTTTTTATTAGGTGCTGAGTAAGAAAGACTTCAGTTGAAACGAAGGGCAAATTGCTTTTCCATTGAACTTGATTCCTGTAAAATTTAAAAGTATTCAGTGGAGCTCGTCTCCTGAGAATGAACTTGGTTTCATGATTCTTAAATATTACTTCACAGGGATTACATGTATAGAACAAACATTCTTTCTTTCACATACAACACCCTACAGAATTATGCATAATAGAAGAATTGGATAAAAACTATCAGCAGCTCTGGTGCTGTCATCAAGCTGAGTCAAGTCAAGACTGGAATGATTCTGTTTTGATCACAGCAAAAGTACACTGCCAGATTATAATCTGTTCCTGAATGCAGAAAGGGTATATCACACACATAGGACTGCCAAGATTTGGCAGCCAATAAGAGAGCAGCATATAAAAGGGATTATATTATTACAAAATGTAACTTTCTCCTTTAGTGTACTGGTTCACTGGTTCCTCATTGATTTCTTTCAGACGCATACCAGCTTAGTATCTGGCATCATTTCTTAAAGTCCCTTATTAAAATAGACAACCTCAATATCCGAGTTCTTCTCTCTGATTAAATTCTGGACATCTGGTTCCAGGCGATTCACCCGCATTGAACTGCAAAAGGAAATAATATACAGATTATTTGAAAGTACACCTGCTATGGACACCAATAACTTACAGAATTAGGGTTACTGATGTCTATTTTGGAAAATTAGGATTCTACAGACTTTGACAGACTTTATTTAATATGTATTCTGGAGAAGTTGTATTACAGGTCCTATAACCTGCAGTCAACATAGCCCTCTCAAAGATACTAAGGTGGAAAAGCTGGTTGAGCTATATATTCAACATTATGGCCTTTGGAAAGAAATAATTATTTCTGTAACATGGCAAATAAATTCAAAGTGCCCTTCATTATTCATTTGACTGCATTATTTCAAATATTATTCAATATTCAGTTATTTAGTTCAAAAACCAGATGTTCTGACCACAATGCAAGAGACAAAATGGGCAGGTTAAATACAACACTGTATGAACTCCACACTTCTATGACCACCCCACAGAAATATGAAATTCGATATTCAGTATGGAATTGTCCATTAGAATATGTAAATGTCTATTTAAAAAAAGTTATTTAAGAAGATAACTCTGAACATATGTTGGCTTGAAAGTATGAAATGTCAAGAACCAAAGGCTGCCATTGGGGAGAAAATGTGCTTTTTGCCTTCAACTTTTTCTAATTGACACTGGCTGTTCTTGTCCCTCACTGCTTAGCAGATCCTTCCAGCCTGAAATATCAAAAAATGCATCTGGGATCATCTCAATGCAAAGTTCTATTGCTGAGCTTTATATCCCAGTTCCTAAATTCTTTGGCACAATCTTTGGGGAAAGGCTCTAGAATATACTTTCCTGAGAAATATTGAGGAAACAAATACTGTACCTAACTGAAAGCAACAATAACATGCAAGAATATGCAAGAGTATTTCTTACCTCTTCTGTGGGAAGAATGCACAGCAAAGAGGTGTGGCAAACACTAAACTATAGAAAGAAAGACAAGAATGGAAGAAGTACTGTTGATTGCCTTTTGTCATCGTGTACTTGACTCATGAGGAAAAATAACTATCATGCTCACCAGCTACTTGAGTATCATCAACCATAATTGTCTACCACATGTAATGGATTTACATAAAACAATTTTCCAATATCTTATTAGAATGCTGAGGTAAAACAACACACGTAACACAATTCTATATTGTAGTTCTTTTGCTTCCCAATCAATGTTTCCCTCTAGTATCCAGTGCCTTTTCAAACTCCAACCAACAACACTGTAACATTCCTCTAATTAGATTTTTAAGAGGAAGGACTGAAGGTTAACCCTTGTTCCGCTTCCCTAATAAGTGCATATGATTTGGACTACAATTCCAACATCCAGCTACAATGGACAACAGTGCAGAATAAAGTAAATTGTCCAGAATATGGAAGGCACCACATTTGGGAAGACTCCGGGTTCATCATCTACAGGTGCTAGAGGATTGCACAAAGTTTTTGGACTGATGGTACAAGTTAGATGCTCAGAGCAGAATAAACAAGGCCAAATAAAGATCATAGTCTCCCCAAATTTCCACAAACAGATGGGAACTTCCTTGCTAAATATTGATACAAGTCCTCATTAGTCAACAAGTCAAGTCACATTTTTCAGTATAGAAAATAAGGAAGTCCTGGATATCTGTTCCTGGACAATTCTATTTGCATAGGAGAAAGATGTCACTTACGTCAGGCCCACCAGTCCAATCTGCAGAGGAGCATTCATCCAGGGGTATCGCTGATGGAAATACAAAAGAAATTGTGTACACAGAATACTTATATTGTTTTCCAAAGCAAAAAAGTCTTATTTATTTATACTTTATATAGGTGAAATGATTTATGGAGCAATCATAGCCATACATTTCTTGAAATGATGATGGACCCTTTTTTGAGCCTGATGCACAGAATATATAAGCAGAGGCAAAATGTCATGTTGCCTTAACAACACAATGCCACAATTCAATAGGTGTGTTGAAGTACAGCAAGTACACCTGCCTTTGCCACAGCCATCCTTCTGGAATATCTTCAGTGTTACAAACATGACATTCTTACCTGGAAGTAAGTCATTATACACTTCAGCAAAGCTCTCAGCACTTGGTTTTTGAATAGGTTAATCTGCTGCTATGAATGTTTCTATGTTTTTGAAACCCAGAAACTGATTTAACATACAGAAAACCTAGATAATTTCCTTAGGTGGAAAAAAGGGGGGGGGGCAAAATCAGCAAAACTGCAGACCATCATAATGCAAGTCCCACTTCTTTTGAACGTGTACAATGATGATGCACATAGAAAGCCCCATGAGGGGCTTGAATTACAATGTTCTGTCTGCCATTTTGCTGATACATATGAACATTTGTTCTGTCTGCCATTTTGATACATATGAACATTCCCATGGAAGCTGCTGTCCTCAGCAATAAAAGTTTGGAGTGGGAAAATGAATGATAACACAAACCTTGGAAGGACATCTAAGAGAAGCTGCCAAAACCCTATATTAAAGTAGCAGTGGTCCTCAATGTGTAGCCTTTGTGGACCCCTGGAGTCTCCCAAGACCCTCTCAGGAATCCACGAAATCAAAATTATTTATCTATCAATCTTAAAAATGCAATAATACAATACAATACAACAACTAATATAATATTAAAATCCCATCAACAATCATGAGAAAAAGTAGTGGCAGTTTCACATAAGGCTATTTTAATTTTTAATATGGTAAATAATATAATGTATACAAGCAAAAGCTCTTTGGGGGTCTTCCACAATTTTCAAAAGTGGGAAGGGGTTCTGAGAGAGAAAAAGTTTAATAAATACTAGAATATAGAGATCAGAAATGTGAGGGGGAAAGTGCTACTGTATATCGTTCCCAAAATTAATATAATAGGACTAAAATGGTAGCAGAACTTTAGCAATCTCACTAAAGTATTAATCTCATGATAGTTTTTAATGCCTGGAGCTAAACGTGGCATAGGATAGTTTCTTTTTATGGTAATCTCATATTTGCCATTTGCAAGAAAAGAAGAATCCATTGCCCTTCAGGTTTCTGGGACTTCTAGCCAGCACAGTTATCAGTTCCAATTATAAAATTGACACATCTGGAGAGGACCAAATTGGAAAAAGCTGGTTTAATTAAAATGTATATAATTTTCATGTTCTTCATCCATTCAACCAACCCTTCATCCATTCAACCAACCATGACAACTGATGCATCTGAAAACAAAACTAAATTTCCTTTTCCTGTCTTGCAGTTGCCATTTGTATAGGGTCAGGGTTAGGCAAAAATTAGGCTTAAACTTTGCCAACTTCCCTCTTACTCTTGTGCTAGAAGAGAACCTGACAAAAAAGGGAACCACAACCTTCTAGGCAAAAAGTCATGGAGGAACATGAACTTGATCATACCTTCATAAATGCTCTTTTCTCCAGGGCATTCATGATCACAGGAGGGATGGCTGTGGGGAGGAAGTGGATGAAGAGTCAGACAGCATAAAGGTCAGTTAGATGTCTCCCAAAAAAGGGACAGAGAAAACCTGCACACGCTGGATTTGCTGGGATATATATTTTTCACTATGTACCTTTTCTCCACCCTCAAGTTGCATTCATCTTAAGATCTTTGGGACTATAATCCCATTAATCTCAGAAATATAGTCAATAATTGAAGATGATACATTACAGAAGATTATTCCAAGAACCAGTTATATATACTGAGACTGGGGCTACAATAAATACTTCTTCTCATATCTCTAGCTCTCCCAAATGCCCCAACTGGGAAGAACAAAGATATTTTCCCAGTAGCATAATTCTTGATATTCTTCTCATCAGAAACAAGTTCTACTGAATTCAGAGGTTTCAGCAACTAAACAAACAGCTGAAATGCAGTTTTATATTATTGTGGTTTTCAAGCTCTACTTTCAGAGGTTATTTTAATTTTGATTCAAAATTTCTCATTTAAAAAAAGATGGGCAAAGAGGGAATATTCATTGAAATTCAAATATTTCTCAAGGTAGCAACAACATACCCATTGCAGGTGCAGCCATGCCAATGCGTGAAATCACCACTTGCACAATGGCTTGCTGGGCGGCCTTCTTCGATTCCCCCAGCCGATTCCCATGTTCATCCATAATGGGGATACCAAACTTTAGCTCCCTATAGAAATGGTTAAGAGGGAAACATAAACTCTCTATTCTTCATTCTGTCTTTTCTTTGTATTTTATTATGCTGTTTTTTCCTCATCTGTTGTATAATACTGATGGCTATAGCAACCTTAGTCCTCTATACAGGCCCCACATTATCAACAAAAGCTTTTGAGAATTACAATAGACGCCAATCACTACAACATGTGCTCCCATCCAATGGGCATTTGCACATTCCCAAAATTAAATCTATCTATCTAAATCTCTTGATAATATATATGCCCTCGCCAGGATCCACCTGCAGCACTTTCACAGCCTAGCAATGGTCACAGGCTTTACATCAGGGGTAGTCAACCTTGGCTCTTTTATGACTCGTGGACTTCAACTGGGAGTTGAAGTCCATGAGTCATAAAAGAGCCAAGGTTGACTACCCCTGCTTTATATTGTAAATCTCTTGCCTATGAAATACAGGAAGTATTTGACTCATTCTTTTTAGATGCCCAGATGATTTCATTTTTGCAGAAAACAGCTGAGAACTGACTAGTATACACCTCAGCTGTCCCCAGTGCTAATTTCCAGTGGAATCCCAATGAAGGTGGAAGTGTTTTAAATTTTTGATCTGTGTTTGCTACTGCGTCTGTATTTGCAAAGGAATAAATGGGAAGGGAAGAAAGTTGCTGTGAAAGAAAGAGATGAATGGAGGAAAAGATTATCTCTATTTTAGAATCCCAGTTCCTGGAAAAATTTTGCTAAAACTGACCCAGCTTACAATCAGTGTTAAGATACAAACATTACATACCAATCAATCAAAACTTTATCATGATCATAGACCAGCATAAACCTTACATGTTACCTTGAAGATCTATTACAGGAATTTGAATATATCTTATTACAGCTATACATACACCATGCTTTTAGTATTATAAGATAAGATAACCAATCTTACAGATGCTCAGAATATGCAAACTATAAGGAATTACCAGGAATTGAACTTCCTGTAGCAGTTCTCCCATTACGTTTCCATCCAACAAACCATACCATCTTACCTTTGTCTTGTTAATGGAATATTAATGCAGTTTGCAGCTGCCACCGCTGCAAAAGGCACATAGCGTCCAATGATTGAGGGCAAATGCTATCAAGGAAGGAGGGTTGAAATGAGAGAAGAGATTTGTGATACAGATTAAATTAATAACATGATGAACAGAATTATATTTTACAACAGAGTCACTGATTCAGTCAGGAACTGTCATCAATTCCTTTGAGAATTCACCATACAGATATAATGAAACTTCAGCCTTCATTTTTTTTCTATATCAGATGCAGTGTATACTATTTTGTTCATGCATTGGATTATGCAAAGCAACCCTCAAGTCCAATGTTTTTCAACCTTGGAAACTTTAAAATGGGTGGACTTCAACTCCCAGAATTCCCCAGCCAGCAAAGCTGGCTGGGGAATTCTGGGAGTTGAAGTCCACTCATCTTAAAGTTTCCAAGGTTGAAAAACACTGCTCTAGTCCACTAGGCAAATCTTTCAGCTGGGCCTCCAACTGGTGAGAGAGCTCAGGCTTAAACCACACTAACAGAACAGAGCTCTCTGCTCTTCTTTTCTTCAATTTTGTTTTCCTTTTGGGGCTAGTGTAAGGAGTTATCAGCTAATGATATCAGCATGATATCATTATATCAGCCTGAGATATAATCTAAAACAGCGGTTCTCAACCTGTGAGTTGGGACCCCATTTGGGGTCAAACGACCATTTCATGGGGGTCGCCAAACAACGCAGTCCGCCATTTTTTTCCCCTTTTCCTTAGCTGTGCTACTCCCTTTTATTCTATTGGCTTTTGAAAGCCAATAGAATAGACTCTCTTGAATAGATCTAATTCTATTGGCTTTCAAAAGCCAATAGGAATTGTCCAGGCTGTCTCTGCCCTGCTGAGCCCGCCAAAAGTCCCATTCTGCAAACGGTGCTGCAAGTTGTCTGCAGCAAAGGCGAGCTGTCTGGAAGCTTCCACCCCTCCCTGATGAGCAACTACTAAAAATGTAAGTAAAAGAGGGCCAGGGGTGGGAGGTGGGAGGCCGGCGGGCGAGGGAGGATTGCTGGCGTGCGTGGGGCCCAGCGGGTGCCTTACCTCCCTTGGGCTGGGCCAGCTGGTGGCCAAGCAGTGGTCGGCCTGCACCATCTCTGCCGCTTGCCAGCTACACCTCGGCCGGCGCAGGGGGCGGCATCACGCATGTGCGGCGCTCCCGGCCAGGGAAAGTCCTCGACTTACAACTGGTTGGGTAGTCCTCAACTTATGACCGGTTGGGGGTCACGGCATTAAAAAGGTTGAGAACCACTGATCTAAAACAATATTTATTATAATGCACTTTGGAAATTTCTTGACTTTTATATAGAATAATGCTGATGAAACACTTGTCATATGTTTTCATTATTTGTTATTGCAGTATTTTCTTCTTGTAACTTTAATATCATTTTCTTTTTTCCTTTTGCAATTTATATGCCAACCATTTCCTCCATTTGTCTTCACCTTGCATAATTCACCTTTATTTTCCTCTCTTTCACTATTAACATAGATAATTGCCTCTATGGAAGCTTAATGTTATCCTCCTTAGAGATTCAACATTCTTTTTCCTTTTTTATCTATTCAAAATCATTTGTATTTTCTCTTGCTTTTTCTTTTTAAATTCACTATTATGTTGTATAAAATATCCTCTTACTTGTATTATGTTCTTACTTCTGTGCCTTTATTAAGGTTATTCTCAAGAAGTTCTTTTAACATATTTGCAATCCTCCATGACCATTTCCTTTTGTAACAACATCTCATTCAATCTCCATTGGAATCAACCATTTTTCCTTTTAAAAGTTAAAGTGACCGGACTGTGGTCTGAAAAAGTCCTTGGTAATGTTTCCACTTTATGAACCTTAATGGCCAAAGTCTTAGAGATCCAGATCATACCTATTCTTGAAAAAGGTCTATGTCTTTCAGAAAAATAAGTATAAGAGGGAGTAGAAACTTAATGGGAAGATTAAATATTTTTGATTTGCTAACAGGTTTTAGTAATCAGATGAAGATGAAGATGCTAACAAAAATATGCAAGAGGAAAATCAAATAGAACTGATGCAGAAAACTTTGAAGGTTGATACAAAAGTAAAATATTTGGATATTTGAATCATGTTATTTCAAATAATTATGTTAAGAGATGGAATAAAATTAAGAGAAGGAAATATTAAGATGGGCGAAATTAAAATTATTAAAACAATAAGAGATGAGATACTGAGAAGAGTTAGAGATGAACCATTACAATATAAAAACAAAGAAATTGTGGTGTTGAAGCAGATCCCTAAGAGAATAAGAGACACCCGAAGACAATATCATTTTTTGACTACAAAGTTAATCGCAAAAGGAGTAAATTTATGTTTAATGCCAAAAGGAATCTTAATCAATTGGAACAAGAATTTTGGTTTTAATAAACAGATGGATCAATGGGAAAATAGGTGGCTAAAAGGGTTGAAATTTATATCATGTTGTGATCTCAAAAAGAATTTTTTTTATAAAATTATATACTGTTGGCACATCATGCCAGACAAATTATCTAGATTATATGAAGATATTTCATATGTATGTTGGGAATGTGAACCAGATTAAGGAATATTTTATCATGCTTGATGGAATGTAAAAACTAAGAAATGGATTGAAATGCATACATTGATACAGAGGATTTTAAACATTAATATTATATTGAAACCAGAACTTTTCCTTTTAGGATTAATTGATAAATAGTTAGAAAAAAGACATGGGAGATTATTTTAATAGATAATTACAGCAGTGAGGTTACTGTATGCAAAAAAAATGGAAAGATTTAGTATTACCCAATTGAGTAATGGTTGGCGAAATTGAGAGAATTTGCTAAGAGAAAAATATTGGGTTGCCAAAGGTTGACTGTTGTTGCTTTTTCAGTATATCTAAGCAACTTTGTAAAATGCAAGCTAATACAACTTTGACAAGCTCCCTTTTTATAATCCTCCTTGGAACATCTGATTGCAAACTTCTTGAAGGGGAATATACTATCCTCCCACAGGAACAGCTTCGGGAAACTTTAAACCGGGTTGGGTAAGAGCTGGGGTGAGATGAAATGAATATTATGAAGACATGGCAGGGGAAAAAAGGCATTGCTGGGACATGTTTGTGGTCAGCTGCAAATGGGGAAACGCTCTACACTCGACTGAGATGCCGAATTGAACTGAAAAGAAGATTTGTTTCTTAAAACCTTTGAACTGGGAAAATAATTCTTTAAGAATCTGGCAAAGGAAGCGGAAGAGTATTCCTATCCAATTTTCTTAGAGATTTGGGGTGTTATGTTCAGAACCATCTTCCTTTTGGATAAATGAGCTATGCAGCACAAGAATTGTTATATTAGAACTTCTTAATATTTATACGTATACAAATATTAATACATTAAACCTACTCTACTAGAATAGTAAGAGTGAAATTGTTAGCCTGGCTTATTAATGTGAAATAAAGAAGTCTCCATGAAATCCATAGCTAGACTATACCACTATCCAAATGTCCATGATAAACTTGAATCCTCCTGCTCCTGAAAGAGGCAGATCATGTCGTAACCAAGGGAGGAGATAAAATTATTTCTGTAAACAAGGTCAGACTGCTATTTCTCAATTCTATCTTCAGGAAGTCTTGATCAAGCTGTGTATAGTATTCCTCTGTGAGGTAACGGAGCCAACGGGTCTCTTACCTTGGTGAGAGATTTGAGTCCTAGAGCTGCCACTACAGCTCCAGTAGTAGCACTGACATAAGCCGTTCCCAACTGTCTGCAAAAGAAGTAGACAACTTGGTGACGCTAAGAAACTCTCAGCCTTCCTGTCTAACCTTAACCTTAACCCCAGTCCCATCCCAGAAATATGGCAGGGTGGATAGCAATTTTGCGCATTTAAAGCAGCCATGGGGTATCATAAGGCACATATGTCTCTCATCAGAAATAGGCAAAATCAAAGTTTTGGGTTGTATTTGGGGCTGGTGGAAAATTAACAAGCATGATAATGCCTTATACCTTGCAGGAGCTTAAGGAACCCTTCTTTTTTAATTGTTGCTTTTTTTTTCCATTTTAGAGGGCTTTAAGGGCAAAATGAATGAACAAGTTTCTTAAAATCTTAACAAAATACAAAAATACCAAACAAAAAATGCCAGTCCTGCCAATCAGCGGTTGCTGAGAACACAAAAATGAACCTGGGCATGCTAGGCCAAAAGAGGCTTGCCTTCCTTTATCAAATGGAACCATTCCTGTCACTCATTTGAGAGCTCCATTGGCTGCCAGTTGGCTTCCAGATACAATTCAAGCTGCGGGCTGTCACCTTTTAAAGCACTGTATGGCTCGGGGATCTCTGGAACCACCCTGCTAATAATACTTGCCATGCAATAAGTTCTGATAAAGTAGGGTCCCTCTGTATCCCCAGACTCAGGGACCATTATTCTCAAGATCACGGAAAAGATTATCTTCAATTTCTGTCTTCTTCTGTGAAATAGAGAGTTTCCCCAGAAATCCAAATAGCTCCCATTAAGTTTTAGAAAGATATTAAAACTTGTTAACTCTGGCAATCTTTGTAACTTTGTTATCATTTTGTTTCTTCTAGCATTGGATATATTTTTTCTCTCTTTATGGTTAAGGTAATTGATGTTCCTGGTACTTATGTATGCTGATACATTTTTAAAATTTTATTATGTTAATCCAGTTCATTATGTTTTATTATGTTAATCCAGTTCATTATGTTGGGCCTGTGTGCTGCTCATAATCAGCAACCATTGGAGCAATCCGTAAGCTCATTAAACAAAAAAAACGGTAACGTGGAAGTAATACCTTCAGGATTACAAATCACATTTGGAATTAGAGAACACAGGTCTCCTGTTTTGCTATCTAGGTAAGCACTGAATCGTGAAAATGGTACTTCCTAGAAATTGCCATAGCCTGCTGCTGGTTTAGGACCAGGCAACTTAAGACCATTGGATGTAATTCTTGGTAGGGAAGTTTATATTATTTTCCAGTTATTTTACTGCTTTCTTACTTGACAGTGATAGGTGCATCTCCACTCCGGTTAGTATAATTGACAATGGCATTGAATGATTGGTTCACCCACTGCCAGAAAACCATGGCAGGGGCCGTCCTGTAGGAAAAGAGACAGTCAGGACTGCCAGAAGCTACAAGAAGACAAGACAGAAAGATATCAGAGAAACCAAAATGCCAGCTTAACTTTCAGCATCCTAAGAAAACTGTGCTTGTTTATTCTTAGTGTGCAGTAACACCCATTTGTGCATTTACTTCAAGAGGCCTGGCAGTGGTTTCACTTATTAACAAGTTGCAATACATGTCCTTGCAAATGTTTACATTTCTAAATGGCCTTAACTATCTGTCCTCACACATATAAAAACATTAACATAACATCTGAGAGTCACATTTTTACAGATACTCAAATAGTTTTATGCACGTGGTCTTCACTGAAGTCACTGAATACTCTCCAGAACATGTGTCTGTATGTATGTACCCCTTTACCAAATACATGCAACAGTTTGAATATTAAAATGCCATTGCATTGTATATGTTATGATATTTCATATGTTATATGTTATTTATATGCATAAAGTATCAAATCTGTATCTATCATGCTTGTAGTTTTTGGAACCCTTTAAAGAAGATTCACATCTTATACAGTACGCTGCAGATATATATGCTGAAGAGTGGATACGTACTCTCGCACACTAGTTAAGAAAAAGTCCACATAAAAAGTACACAGTAGGAAAAATCTATACTAAAATCCCTATTGTCACTTCAAACTTTCATTTTAAACCATTGGCAAATTGGGAAACTGAACCAAACTGAAGTTGGTAGACACGGCCTTTACTGCCTTTTTCAAACTTCCAGCATTAAGCACCCTATTCTCCATTCCTTTCTAGAAATAGAAAGTCAAATGTCCAGAAAAAGCTATTAATCCCAAGCATATATCATGCAGGAGAGCAGCATCTTCTTCATTTAAGTCAGACGTGTGGCATATCATTTTTCCCACCTATTATACCACTGTCTTGCCTTAAGTCATCTCACCTGATACAGTGCTGAAATTTAAGGAAGGAGAGATATCTATATTATCTATCTCCTCCCCCCACTCCAGGATTAATAGCATCTTGAGCAATCTATGGAACAAAAACTTATATTTGTAGTATATAGTCAGGTCTAAATACTCCCTTAACCCCAGGGATTGCTATTTTTCATAAAGTAAAATAGAAGCTGCTCTCTCATTCAATCATCGCATGTTGTCTTTGGTCCTCACTTCATACTTCTCTATATACTATTCCCACACAAGGTGTCAGATCTTAGTAGTTACACACATGCCTGTAGAAGGTGAGCATGCATCCCGTGATGGTCATGTTCATAGGCACCTGGGCAGACATACGTCCAATCGGGATCATCTTCTCACCAGTGTCTGGATGGAAGGCAGAGTCATAGATGTATTTTGCCCGCCATAGTTGGTCCTCAGTCAAGCCTGGTTGTACTTTACCCATTCTGGAAAGGTCCACAAAAATGAAAGAAAAATGAAAATAGTACATAATGTTGTGGAGGTTTCTGGAGAAAATATTAATGGTAAGAGGAGATAGCGATAGCTTTAGGAACAGGGGAGCTATATTTGAAATTTCCAGAAAAAAGAATTTCAGAAAAGAAGAGTAAATTAAAGCTCTTTGCTGCTCTCTTCACACAGCTTCACTCTGACCACCCTAAGGTTGTGTTAGGGTATATTTCTTCTTATGTTCCAAATCCTAATTGAGGACTGCATATTAAAATGGTGCAATGGTCTTGAGCTAACTAAAAGTCCCACCACCAAACTACCACCAGAAGAGTTCAATAAAAAGCACAAACAAAACCTTTCCTTGGAACTTCAGTGAGAGTCACTTTCCCAGCCCAGCTTCACCTGTATAAGGTTTCTTCCCATTGCTTTCACTATCACAGGTACCATATTGAATGTTGCAAGCAGTGGATAATGCTCAGAAGAAAAATGGAAGCAAGGGAGAGAGAGAGAAGAAGGCTCTATTATCCAAGCATTTAGATAAGATGAATGGAAAAGGAGGGTCACAGTTCTATTAGATATTTTAAGCAACTTGGACCAAGTTGTTAGGATTCCCTTTTGTCATTATAACTGCTTCCCATCAATTCTCCAAAAGAACCTGTAATCCTGTATCACTCTTCGGGCATCTTCTAGGGCCTTGCTAGAAAGCAGAAGGTTGCGGGGATCTGTCACTGTGAAGAAATGCTTTGCTCTTCCCATGAAGGTGCCCTGATCCCATCGTGGCTCATTTATGTTGATGAGCAGAGACAGTTCTGCAGACATTCTGGCCAAGAAGACAAAGAAAGAAAGCAAAATAATCATATCATTGCACAATAGATATAGACAGACAAGAGAATGACACATCCTCATTGACACATCTCCATTCAATTTACTTCTATTCTATCTTGCCCCTGGCTAAGATTTGGAATTCAAGGGATTTGAAGATTCTTAAGAAAGATACAAAATATCCTGACTGTTTCTGCTTTGCTCTTGAGACACTTTACATTCTGGAAAAAATCATCCCAAGTATTACAGTATTCTCTGGCATGGTTCGCACCCCATGCTAAATCAAATTGTGATTTGTGTGGCAGCTGACAAGTTCAGGAATATTTCTGGAGGATCATGCACTCACTCCCTTTGAAGGAGCAGCTGACTATCTGTGGAATTCATCTGTCACCCAGATCCAGGTAATTTCAGTGATCCACAGTTTGACCAACTGCAACTGACTCATTGACTACAATGACTTTGATGGAGGGGTGAGTTAAACTAAGCTAGTCCATTTCTGGCCTGTCAGATTACAGTATTGCAATGTGCATGGAACTGCCCCCTTGAAGGTGGCTTGGAACCCACACCTAGAAACAGGGGTGTCCACAGATTTTATCAGAATGATGAAACAACATTACCATGTTGCACTTTAAGTTGTTCAACTTTGAGATGTGCATGAGATGCCACACAACACAGGTAGAAAAGCAAAGGGACTTGTGTTGCAACCCCAAGATACTATGTTAATTTCTCAGATACCTTTTGCACCTTCTCTCCCATGCAGGCACCCACTGTTGGCTAGAGATGATAAAACACTTAAGTAGATCCTAAGGGAACTACCCCTGGCTGCTACAAAGGTCTACAATGAACTTTAAAATGTTGTAATGTTCTTTAAGGGAGCATCTCTGCCAGCATGTACCAACTCAAACATTAATATCTGTGGATGATTGCAGCTCATTGCCTCAGAAGGAAGTCCTGGGAAGATTCAGGAGAGCATCTTCTCTATTGTGTCATTTCAGTTTTGGACGTCAGTGTGGGCCAACACTTGCTTCTTGATGCCAAGTGAAGAGCTGGCTTTTTAGTCTCATGGGCTGACAATGAGGCAAAGTTGACATTGTGAGTTAGACATATTTTCTAGGTTCAGTTAACAAGGGGTGAATCCTGTAACTACTGCTGTTTTAGTCTTTGATCATTTATATTTTAACTTGAATACACTTGAAATCCTTAATTTGTTTTTCTCTTTATTTTGTTTTTTTCTTTTGTTTGTTTGTTTTGTCTTTGTTTTTATTTTGTATTTTAACTTTGGAAATAAAATAAATGGTAAAAAGAACATACCTGAAATCATAAAATACCAAGCAAGCAATATTTTAATAAATAATAAACATCTGTGCCTATAATATGTATGCTTTGAAGGATTTACAGGAATATCATATGATCTGTGGTTGCACAAGTGGCAGATGATCTCAAGTTGAAGCCTATTTCAATGTCATGCACAGCAATTTTCATCATTTTAATTGTTTTATTAATAGACATTGGCTGTATATGACAGTTAAACAAGCACTGAAATTTGAGCACTGAGCACAAAACAGTCCTTAAATTATAGAAGAACCAAAGCTACTCTTAGACATCACCTTTAAACTGCTATAACTAGTGGGTTGACCAAATGGGAGAAGCAATTCCGAGGGAGGATTTCTTTCAAAAAAGCACCTCTCCCTTTTTCCAACAATTTATTGCAAGCATACAGAAAACATCAATTCTATCAGAGGACTTCCTGCAGGCCACTTTAGCTGACTTGTGTTCAGCAGGTCAGCGGTTCAAATCTCACCGGCTCAAGGTTGACTCAGCCTTCCATCCTTCCGGGGTAGGTAAAATGAGGACCCAGATTGTTGGGGGCAATGTAAATATATATATATATATATATATATATATATACACACATACACATTGCTTACTGGTGTACACCGCTTAGAGAGTGCTTGCACTTAAAGCGGTATATAAGTCTCATAGATAAATAAATATTCCAATTCACAACCCAGGTTGCAAATTAGCTTTTTAAAAATCATCGCCTCTTACATAATCATTTAATAATTTCAATCAGAAGGTGTAGGTAGCTCTTCCACCCAGCCTGCACGATCTTCCCCTTAGGTATCACTTTGAGATGTTGGGGTTCAAGTCCCATAGAACCAACAGCCGTGCTGGACAGGTAAGTTAGATAAGAGAAAGCGGGTGTGATGCGCGATGCAAGCCGAAATCCCACTAAAGTATGACGGTCAGAACGCAGATTCAAGCAAATTTAAGACAATCCTGGAACATCAACCAAACCTTTCAGTTTCGCAAAACTCACAGCCTTGGTGCGGGTACGAAAACGGGGGAAGCTGCGAACATAGAAGAGCAGAAATCCCCGTACCGTTGAAAAGAAGGAAAGATCCTCCGTTACGGTCGGGATAAGACCTCCTGTCGACGCGATCGTACGCCAGGCTAATCTGGGATGGACGGATGACGCCCCATCTTAGATTAGCCCGCGAACAGCGCTCCCTCTCCACTCCTACGGGACTGGTGGGCGCAGGCGGCCGATCTCCACCCAAAGCCCTGACTCATAGGAGTGGGTGGAAAATATCCGGCGGCGGCGAGAAGGGAAATCGAAAAAGGCGGTGGACAGCGCCCTGCAAGCGGAGCGTGAAAGGAGGAAGCGGCTGGATCCGCAAAGACGCCGGTTTAAGAAAAGGCAGGAGGCAGAGAGAACGGCGAGCAAACGAGAGGCTCAGGGAGGCGCGCGACCTTTACGACAATCGACTCACTTGTTCCTACGAGCGGCGGCTGCAACCCGATCGCGGCGCTGAAACTGCGGAGCGCTCTCCTCCTAAGACCGGCCCCTCCCTGGCGCTCTCCTGGCTCCCAGCGCAGCAGCCCGAGGCCGAGAGAGCCAATGGTCGTCGCCGAAGCCCATCGAAGGGGCAGGGCCGGGGCAAGCACGTTACTTTGAGCTACGGGGCGAGAATTAAAGCGGGGAGGGGCGGAGGGGAGGGAGGCGGGAGGCGTCTCCTTGGCACTGCTCCCCTGAAATCGGATTAGGACGGGCGGAGTGGAGAACGGAGGGCCTGTAATCAGCCGGCGCCGCTTGTTGCTTTTATCCGGAGGGAGGGCTGTCCCCTGCTTATGCTCCTCCATGCTCTGCTGCGGGCTTCCTGATACAAGCCGCGGAAGGCACCGACAAAGCCTTGTGCACTGCAATACCTCGCAACGATTCGCACCCTGCAAGTGAAAGCTGTAAACTGCAAGATCGGGGGGGGGGAGGATTCAGCCTGGCGGGAGACTTGATGGTTTATCCTCTGGAAAGGACCTTCTCAGGATGTGCAGCGTGCCTTCTAGTAATAACCGTTACTCCAAAGAAATGTCTAAGGCAAGACCGTCTAGTTGGAACAGTTTCAGGAAACCTATTGACTGCGCCAGATACAAAACGACCCCCAAGAACTTTCTCGAGGCAGGTTGGGGAATTCTGACAAGCGGCTACATCATCGCTTTCTCCTTTTTCGCAAAATGAAGGAAGCGGGAGCATCTAAAAGACTGGGAATCTGTGGAATCAGGAGCCGCACAGAAATCATGAGGTCATCTAAGCAGCTTAGCCTTGAGTAATTAAAGTATCTTTGAGGATAGTGTGGAATAGGAGAACAGAGTGGTGATGCTCCTTTCAGATAGGGATATTGGTCGTGGTTAGTGTTTGTGAAATATTTCTAATATTTGTTTCCCCCATATATCGCTTCAATATTGTTCATCCCTGCTGTTTTGTTCATGATGAAATTTGGGAAATAATTAGGTTATGAAAATATGTTCAGTGGGATTAAATGTTTTGACAAAAAATATGCTGAAATCCCATAAACACTTTCTGAAGAGTGTGTTCTGAACCGGGTGGGACTTCTAATAAACAAATAGAAGATTATATTGTTAATGTTACAGTACTTGAAAAAGTATGGGATGTTACATGCTTTGCATTCTGTTTGATATTTTTAATATTTAATCTGAGTAAAATTCATTTTGTCGTAATTTATAACCTAATACAATTAATATGCTGTCATTGTATTGAACCTTGTGATTATGGTATTTTTAATTTAAGCAATAATAAATATAAAGATGTATTATCTTGATTACAAAAAATATATGTTTGAAATGAAATACTTTGAGATTTATTTCTTCAGGCAAGTTAAAAATCATTTACTTATTTATCTGCTTGCTGAAATTCAAACATCTTTTTTGGGCTGCTCATGGGAAACATGCCTGTTGGTTTATCTAGTTGTGTAAGGCATGATTTTAAAAAATCAGCATTAGAGCCCTTGCTGTGGACACCATTAACTTGAAAGCCAGGAAGGAGCATAGAGGAAGGAGCAAAAAGAACTGAGAAAGTCTTGATCTGCTCCAGATTATACTGGTGGGGTGGTCCCAAGTTCTCCCCTCCCCCAGACCATCTTCACTGGTATATTAATATATTGCCTTGTCAGGTGGCAGACTTGTCACTTCATATGAATGCATGCAAGAATTATGATCCTAGGCAGTAGGACAATAACAGTATCTAATGAAAGGGGGTTGAGAAGGGTGCTCTGTATCTACATCTGTTTATACGAATACATGCAAGGATTCCAAAATAATGATGGTTATTCTTGGGGAAAGACACTGATTTCATTTTCAGGAATTGCAAAAAGGGGTTTCAGTACAACTTATACAGTTATCAGTGTTAATTTGCAGCTGTTTAGTTCATACATGTGAACTACACACAAACACATTAGTTTGGATAAAATATGAATCAACATGTATGAAAGATGGAGTACATGAGACTTGTGCAGAGCAAACATACAGGCAGATGATTGTGTTTTGGAAGACTTCATCTTATACTGCTGGTTGGAAAATACTAGAATGGAGATCATGAAGAATAACAGAATATCAGAGTTGGAAGGAACCTTGGAGGTCTTCTAGTATGCTCAGGCAGGAAACCCTATACCATTTCAGACAAATGGTTGTCCAATCTTTTCTTTAAAATTTCCAGTGTTGAAGCACCCACAATTTCCGAAAGCAAATTGTTCCACTAATTAATCATTCTCACAGTCAGAAAATTTCTTCTTAGTTCTAGGTTGCTTCTCTCCTTGATTAGTTTCTATCCATTTCTTCTTGTTCTGCCTTCAGGTGCTTTGGAGAATAGCTTGATTCCCTCTTCATTGTGGCCACTCCTGAGATATTGGAATGTTCCTATCATGTCACCCCTAGTGCATCTTTTCATTAATCTAGACATGCCCAATTCAAGAACAGTTCTTTATATGTTTTAGCCTCCAGTCCCCTAATCATCTTTGGTGCTCTTCTCTGTATTCTTTCAAATCTTTTTTACAAGATTCAACAAGAGAAGGAAGACATGTTCACTGGATGAGGGAATAATACTCATGACAAAATACCAAAAGGCATGTAATTGGTTTTATTAAAAGTGATAAAAGTGTCTGAGAACTGATGTGGTTTGGAGTCATTACATAAAAGATGTTAACGTGCACAGCAGATGTCCACCTCAGCTGTTCTGAAATTCTAACCTGGCCTGCAAAAGAACTTTCAATTGTGATGCATGCTTGTGATGCATCTTGTGAATGAACTTCTAGTTCCCAAATTAAACAGTAATAATCTGCATTTGTTTCTACATATAAGGGCAATTTGGAAATAAACCTCTGTTTGGTTATCAATGACAGACACTCGCAGATACAGAACTTTTATTATACACATTAGAAAACTACAACATTACATTACTTTCCAAGGTAATGGCCATTCAAATTGAGGCACTTGTCATGACATCTTACCAGGTTTGAAATTCCTTAGTAGTCGCTCAGCGCCAAATCTGGGTTGGGGGGGGATCAAAAACATCCCAACGGAACTACTTCAACAGTACTTGGGTGCGTCTAGCGGTGTGTGGGTGAGCATTATTGTGAACCAACTCCACACCGGAAGTCAGCATGCCCCAACGCTTGTTATGGATGGCTCGTCTGAGTTTTCGTAATGTTTCACAGTAGACTTCTGAACTGATAATCGAACCACACTCCATGAACTTCATTAGCAGTACTCCTTTGGCATCTTCATATTTGGCAAGATTTTCTATGGCACCACTTCCAGTGTGGTGTTGGTTCATGATAATGCTCACCCACATATCGCTAGATGCACCCAAGAACTTTTGAAGCAGTTCTGTTGGGATGTTTTTGATCACCCTCCCTATAGTTTGATTAGATAAATAAAGCAAGAAAGTAGGATGAAGAAAGTGTTTCTTCTGGTTGAGATAGGCATCTGCACATGTTTACCTTTTGTTCTATTACAATTAAACATTCCAGTGAGCATGTTTTTCATGGTGTCTCTGCAGGTGGTCCCTATACCAATAGCTGTATCTGTACCACCAGTCTTTGCCACAACTTCTCAGAACATGCTGCTTATCTACATCCCTTCAATATTGAATTCGGTCTATTCTCTTCTACAATGCTGTACATCATTTGGAAGAACACTGGGTGGGAAGTATCTCCCCAGAAATCCCATCTCACTCATAAGGCACACTTTGTCCTGAGTGGGGCTTTCACTGGACTAGTATTAGGAGCCTTGACCATTTCAGCAACCATTGGGGTAATGATCACGGGGTAATGAGCTCTGCCTACATATTACATTTTCAACTCTGTATTGTTATTTGCCATGCTCTTGGCAACTTTGATAGGCATCATTACCTACTGGATGAAGAAAAAATCTGCCACTGGACACTCTAAGAGTGTGATAATAAGATTAGATGTGACCTTGCTTTTGGGAAGCTCTTCTGGACCTCTTCTGATATCAATCTTCTCTTTGGTTGCCATAGTTTTTCTTTATGCCAATGACAGCTGCTATCTTCGGGATTTCTGCTTCTCCCTCTGCAAGACTATACAGATCTTAGGTCAGAATCTGTTTATTGCTGAAGCCTTGTACTCTAGTCTGTATCATGAACCAAATGCACAAGACAACACTGATTGTATTAATAGTAGCTGGGTCTTTTCCATTTCTGGAGGTCCTCAACAGGACAATAATGGACCTTTCTCCAAGTTTGGATAATCAGTCATCGATAAACCTATCAGATTATGGAAGTGACCAGTCTTTCTTCCAGAGTTCACACATCAAAGGAGAACAGAGGCTATCAAGGAAGATTCTACAAAATATTTCAATTCTTCTTACTTTTATAACATATTGGTGAGCTTGATCATATCTAAAGATGCAACATAGCCTTCTCCAATTTGAAGAGAGACACTTGTGTGGCAGGCTGAGGCAAAGAACCAGTGAAATCTGGGGGCTAGACAGGGGACAGATTGTATCTGCCCTCAGTGTGGAAGGGACTGCCACTCTCGAACTGGCCTTTTTAACCACACCAGATGCTGCCTTAGGACCTCTTTCCAGAGCACGATACCATAGTCTCTCGAGACTGAAGGATGCCAATGAAGATGGATGATATCTAGCAAGGTTCCTAGATCAAATGGCAACTGGAATTCTGGATAGGGGCAGCCTCTTAAGGAGTCCAAGATCTATTGTCTAGAACACTAGACTAGTGTCTTCTTGATGTCATTTTGAGAACATAATTGACCTGTTTCCCAGTGGCAGGTCTTAGCTCAGGCCTAGTGAAGCCATGTGCTCTGTGGAGATAAGAATAGCTCCAATTAATTGGGCCAGGCATTGTACACTAGCATGGAGAGATGCCATTTTTGAATGGTTAATTTATGAACAGTTATTAAATTACAACTATCAGCACATCTACTATAGAAATACATTAGAAGCATTTCATAAATAAGATTAACTATTAAAAGAGAAAGAGAATATATTAAATGCTAACTCATGCTTAATGGTTACAAACATGAGACAGAATTAGAAACATTTCAAAACCTTAAATAAAGTCTTTTGAACAAAGGAAAAGAGCTATTTGGCATCTAAATGTTCTCTGTTCTTGTTTTCCATCAAATTAATTCTCCTTAATTCTCTCTGATCTGAATAAGTGAAAACTATTGCCAAATCCCACAGCTTGGCATCACATTTTCATATTCTAGGCTTAGCTTGTAGTGATTATGTAATAGCTTTATGATGGATTTCCAAGGCTGGAACTGACTTACCCATGTTACTATCTCACCACAAAGGAAGGGAAAATTATGGGAGTGACGGAGAGCAGGGGGGAGAAAGGCAGCCAACGGATATTGAAAATGTGTTACTTTTATGGAGATAATTAGATATTTTCAGTTAAATATCATCTGCAAGCAATCATTTTAGCTAAGCATTTCAAATCTGAAGAGGATAAGACAGTGGGAATTTTGCTTTCTTTATAGCTTTTTTTCCCTGCTAGTGAATTGTTTACAAGTAATGCTTGGTGGCTGTGTTCATAGAGAGCCAGTTTGCTATGACAGTTAAGGTGCTGCCTAGAAACCAGAAAACTATGTGTTTCGTGTCTCCCACCTTAGACATGAAAACTAGCTGGGTGAATCTGGGCTAATTGCTTTCTCTCAGCCCAGCTTACCTCACAGCATTATTGATGTGGGGAAAATAGGATGAGGAAGGTGGATGTCCACCACCTTGAGTGACTTATAAAGTAATAAAGGATAAAAGTTAAAAAAAATGACCAAAGATAAGACATGCAGCACATAAATCAAATAAATAAATTACCAACCCAGTCAGTCAAAGTTCCATAATTTGTAGCCTATGGTGCACCACTGAGATTGAGCATCTTCTTGTTAAAGTGGTGCCTTGGATTCCAAAACAAAGTGTTTTATTGCAGTTTCTGGGTAATCTTTGCATATAGAGTTAAGTTTCAAACAACAGATGAAAGAATCCATGTAGAAGATTGTTATCTGACTGTGAAAATGTGGTATTTCCAACTATGAAATTTGGATTAAGAGAAAAATCAAAGAACTTATTTATTAATTAGAAAGTTCAGAACAAAAGATAGATTTCCATCACCCTTTCAGGATGACTCTTCTAAAAAAAATACTGTCTGGGGAAAAATAACTATTCTTTCCATGATCATGAGGTGTACATTGTATAAGTGCATGAATTAATATATAACAGCACTCAAATATACATACCACCAATTTTCTTTTTTGAACATATCTGTTTTATATACGTTTACTTAATATATCAAACTGTTGGCCCCAGACCAGCAAGAATAACTATCTATCTGCTTCTCCCTCCCTTTCTGTGAACTAGGAAGGGGCTTTTTGAGACATTTTCTCAAGTGATTTTCTTGGCTCTGGCTCAAGCCTTGCTTCTCTGACCATTGCCTTGGTAGTGGCTCTTCCTCCTGATCTTCAAGGCCATTCTCTACGTGCCCTCCACAAACTTCAACCCCGCCACAATTCATTTATTCTGAGTTGCTCACATAGCATAGGTAAGACAAATATGAAACCATCCATAATCATTGAAAACCAATCACAATTACAACTACAGCATAAACCCCATGCAAAAATCAATTCGCCTCCCAAAAATAATAAAAAATAACTGTGTCAAATTAAAAAGTAATAGGTAAGAGAAAAAGGAACAAAATGTTATCAAATATAAACATAAAAAAGACCTCAGAAATGATTCCATTTTTAACAATAATCAAATGTGCTAGGGCAGTAGCAGGGTTGGGTAGACTAATAAAAGTGGGATGGCAGTGTCATGATACAAACCCGGCCTGTTTCTACATACTTTGTGATGTTGCATGGCCAATGTAAAAGGGGTGAAGCTATTAGCTTCAAAAGGTTTCTACTTGTATCCTAAAATACGATGGACCTTGACCTAATGAATGCCTATGCATAGAGCTTCAAAATTTGCTTTATTAACCTGTCTCCTTTTCTTTGGCTAGGTGTGGATTCTACACACCTATGGAACATGCCCATACTTTGTGAGCCAGATTGAACAGTCTTTCTATGGTTTTATTTTCTGGGCCATTGTGGTCAATATTTCCCTGCCATTGAGCATATTTTATTGCATGCATTCATTGGCCAGTCTCTTTGAAGTCTACTGCAACACCTGCTGAGAGAGAGCATACCAGCTCTGAGGATAATGAATGCCTAATTACCTCATGAGGATGATACTAAAAGTGGATATATGAAGGAAAATTGCTATTATTTACAAAAGAGTTGCTATGTTATCTGATCCAGATCAAACACATCACAATTCCTCTCACCTATACAAATATAACAGTATATATTATCATCATCACCATAAGCATATAATTTATGGAAATAGATTATTTAATATATTTTCTGGAGAAACCAAAACTAAAGCAATTGACCCAAAATGATTCAGAAATCAGTTTTCGTAAGTCTCTGTATGCACAAGTGGGAAGTCCAGACTCAAATTGGTTCCAAATAAATACTTGAAGAAAGAAATTAATATCAGACTGGTCACCTTTTCTGTACAAGAGATTATAAAGATGTTCAACTACAGAATCTCTGCTCAAAAGCTGCAGTCTAAGTAAAATTTCAAAATATCCCTAGGTATTCCTAATGACAGAAATCATGGGGTAAATAGTATGAGGAATTTCTAAAGGCACTGAATTTAAGGAAGAGTTTGCTCTGAATTATAAAGTGATTTCCTCTCTATTATTGCTCTCTAGTCAGACTGGTGTCAAAGAAGAGACAGATTGATAAATAGTTGGCTGTCGAAGTATTAGGAACAGACTGTTCTCGCACAGCTGAGTCTGAAAATTGGAATAACTGAAGTAAGCCGAACTTACAACTATTCGGTTGGCTTCTTAATTGAATGTACTTATTCTACCATCTTCAGTTAAGTTTCACCTGATAATTCCATCTTTCTCATTTAATTGCAAGACAAATTCTGGGAAAAATCTAATTTATTTCTGCATCTCCTATGTTCTACCTGATAAAAATCATCTTTCCCTTTTAGCTGCACATGCTTTAAGGACCTTAATATAGAAGGAACAAAAAGGTGTTAATTATTTTAATAAATTTATATGTTTTAATGACTTTGTTACACCAATGTATCACTTGCTAAAACATAAGCACATTTTAACCTTTTGTAATTAAACTTTTTGCTAATGAAAGTATAAATATGATACATAAATAATCAAAGTGCTCAATACTCGTGTAGCAATTCCAGTAAGATTTAATGGTATCTTAAAAAACAATCTAGCACTTAGTAAACAAAATCTGTTTTCTATATTAAAAATATATGCACCAGTTCAAAACTTTAAAAACAAGATTTTGATAATTGGTTTCGATTTCTACAGCTATTCGGGTTATTATCTAAAGTGCTCATATTTTACTCCCAGTCTCACATTTTACTCCTCCACTGAACTGTTTTTTTCTACCTACAACTAATGCAGTGAGGAAATACTGTGAATAATTGACAGGTAGTCTAACCTATGAGAGCCTTTGTTTCTAGTTGGACTAACCAATCCATCTGACATGGTGGGAGGTACCTGTTGCAAACACTAGCTCTGCAGGTATCGGTGTGTGTTTTTCCCAGGTAAGGAAGTTTACTGAGCAACGTGGAAACAGGTGAGGCATTTTTAACGGGTTAGATTAGACATTTTAAGGGTTTATCTTTCCCTTTCTGTCTCTTAACTATTTTCAAATTCTTTTGTGCTAAGTAAGGATGAACTGTAGTTTTAACAAGACAAGTAAAAAAAAAAAAAAAAGGATTACCTCAACAAGGGAGAGCATAATTTAATCCAAGTGGTTTAGAGGTTCTGTCCAAGGTCCTGAAAATTCTTGCTCCTCTCGAGCAAAAGGAGCAGAAGAGAGTATTCTTGGAAAAATATCTACCAGTGGCCTTGTATTAGATGCAACACGCTCCGTATCTCATCTTCTCTCATAGTTCTTTGTAAGTTCCCCACCCTTGTGCTGTGTCTCTAATGGAAGGATGAAATCACTTATTTATTAGGGTCAGGTCACTGAGCAAGCAAGCTGTTTCCAGATAATGTGCAAGCAAAGAGGCTGTTGTGGAGGGAGGGGAGGGGAATGGCCTAGTATATCATTCATGCTGAAGAGCCTGGAAAATCCCTTCTCTCTTTCCTGTGTGAGATTACGTAGCAGAAGGGAGAACTCTCCTGATTCTTAGACATAACAATGCTGTCAATTCTGCTGCCTATAAACAAAGGGCACATATTATTGAGAGTACAATAGAGCTTGTAATTAATAAAATTAAAATGGTATGTATTAAGAGCAAAATATTTTGCTGTGACATTTTCAAGTCCTAAGCATGTGGGGCTTAATGAATATGAGATGTTTCAGAGATTGCAACAGACTTCCCATGTTGTCAAACAGAAGTACTGAATGAATTTTAAATTCAAATCCAGCTTGATGTGCAACTATGAAATAATCTTTCAGTGTAAGCTTAAAGTGAAATTTCAAAATAAGATATTGATCTAAATGAATATCTGTGCTGCAGGTTCTGCAATTTCATTTTGACGAGGGTCTCACTGTTTACTGTTTAACATCCATTTGTCTCTACCTGCATTTCACATCTTCCTGATTTGTAATTGCCTGCCAGTAGATGCGTGAAGAATGCCTCTTTTAGTTACTCCTGCTCATTTAATTTGTACTAAGCAGGGAACAAAGTGGTATATGTTTAAGTATAAGAAAGTATAAGGGTGCAAACAAAAATATAGTTTTAATTTCTATAACTTCATAAATCTAATTATTTGTCTTCTCTGCCTTGTTTTTATTTTTGTGAATATTGCAAATTGAAATGCTAGGGTAGTGAGCATTTAGCTGAACCATAGCAACAGATTCTTATGCAATTCAGTAAAAGATTTTGAAATATATTCCTGATTTCTAGTTTCTGATTATTTTCCAGAAAATAATATCAGAATAAATTTTAAAAGAATTGTTTTTTTCTCATTAAAACATTTAAATTTGCACTGACCCCAGTCAATTACTGTAGAAATGTCAGGGTGCTTTGATGTAATCATGAAAAAATGAAATACTTTCAGTCTAGAATTCAGTTCTGGTCTCAGTTGAATATTGGAACAATGGGAATTCATCAGATTTGTTTGAAATTTCCAAGCTATACACCTAATGCTACATTAATAAAATAAACAGGTACACTAGGCTTTCATTTCCCAACTTGACAGATGTGTATGTGCTGCAACTTTTGGAATCTTGGATAATTCCTACCCAACACATTTGGAGAATACCAGATTGTGTAAAGTTGCTCTCTGTTTAACTTCTTCATCGGACTGTGATCTTGGAAAGGAAAGACTCTGACCTCATCTTCCTTTCAGTTTTAAGTTTAACCATTTTTTCCTGAATCAGCTTTATTCATAACTCTCTGCTCTTTGTTCTACATATAAATTTCTTGCTGCATAATACTTTTGCTACTTTGAAATTGTCCATTCATCATGTTAATTCCTAATAATATGTCTGCAGAGAGCATATAAATGTTGTATGTATGTACTGTATGTATAATTACATGTTTGTGGTTAATATAGCACAACTGTATGGAAGGGAGAGCAAATCACAGATCAAACCCATTGAGAAGCAAGATGTTTTCACTAGATCCACTATTTTAAAGATAAGAACATTTTCTGTATTTTTTGTATTTGTATTTTCATATAATTTTCGTTAGCAAAATGAACTCACATGCCCAATAGCAAGATGCACTGGAATATGCCCAACAACTTTTTCCTCTGAAGAAAACAACCAAAGGGGCCAAAATCCAACTCTGTCCGCCTTCATGAGGAAAACACACTCTTCCATCCCCCAAAAGCTTCTCCAAAAGAGCTGTAGAATCAGATGGCTTGAAAGTCTCTCCAGGAGCAACCAAAGTCTGATCTGGCCATGGCTCATGTTTCTGATTCCTTCCGGAAGTTTTTTCCTCCTGCTCATTCTCAGGACTCCAGCAGTGACATCAGCACAGCTAACCTCCTTTTGCTGAGCAGGCAGAATCGCCTTATGAATGGGAATAATCAAAACTTCCAACCTTCGTCACCTATGGGAAGAGTTATTCTTATCAACACACCACTAGAAGGTACTTTTGGGTTGAATAGGGGAGACAGTACACAGATGACATTTCTCATATCCTTTTTCTGATTTCATAGCTCTGATTTCTGATGTAGTTTATGAATATTCACCAAAGATGAAAATCAAGTTTCCAAATCTTATTAGCAGCTTGTCTTCAAAGTTTAGTGTTCTTTGAATGGACAATAGTGAAAAGTTCTACCAGTTATGCATTTGCATAACATAGATAACCTTTATTCACAATTACGTAGCACTTGTGTATTCATAGACCTCTACTCTACTTTTCTATGTACACACATCATTGGATTAATAAATAAATATGGTTTAAAGATTTAATTCCAGTAACGAAGCATAAATATTGTTGTGGATTTTAATATATGGACTTCCACAACAATCTACACCCATCCAGATATGTTGGGCTATGAATTTTGTCAGTCCAAGCTAACAGGGTCAACAGATGCACTAAGAATTATCATCCCACACACCTAAAAGGCCTTTGGAGAGGAAAATTTGTTCTAATAGAAAAGAAAAAATATATGTATGGGGGGACAACTGCTAAGTCTCCCTACATTGTAATCAAGGAATGGATCAGGACCAACTTTACAGTTTGGGGAAACACAATGAGTGATGATAGATTAGATAGATAGATAGATAGATAGATAGATAGATAGATAGATAGATAGATAGATAGATAGATAGATAGATAGATAGATAGATAGATAGATAGATAAATGGACAGAAGCAGGATATTCTTTTTTTTCTAAATCGAATGAGATATTTTTGTAATTTGTAAAACTATTTCAGGATTTAAACCAAATTTTTGTGTCTTACTTCAAAACAAAACCCATGGTATCCATGAGGAGAGCTCAGGGGTTTGATCTTATGCAGCAACCATGGAGTCTTGGTTATTTGCTTTTTAAATAACCTGTCTGAAATTTATAACACAGTCTGAGGCCTTTGGTTCCAGCCTATTTCATTATTATTCTTAAAATTGGTCATTTGGGGGGGGGAGGCTGATCTGCACATAGTTCAGAAAGATGTCTAAACATTTCTCCTGATTTTCTGTCTATGGAATTAAAAATGTCTTTTGGATGCAAGATTAAGCATCCCCTGGGCATGCCAGTATATTGAGGTTTTTTTTTTTTTTGAAGCTATACCTTCTTTACTATTTTGTCTTATATTCCCTTCACAGCTAACAGTGATGAGAGTGATGCTATCAATGCCTTTACAGTGGAGAAGAGCAAAGAGGGGAAGCTGGGTTTCAGTGTGCGTGGGGGCTCTGAACATGGCCTGGGTATTTTTGTCAGTAAGGTGGAAGAGGGCAGCAGTGCAGGTCAGTAAAAATGCTTCAACATTCCCAGACTCAAGCATGGGCAACAATCTGCTTCTAAATTATGAATATAAATACATATTCTGCGTTCAATGCTGTCACTTCTTCTCCAATGCATGTGTCTGGCTATTGTAACAAAAAGATAAATAATGTCACTGGAAGGTCACTCATCAGATATTTTTCTTTGTATATCCTATTGCTAAATCTGACATTTTAGAATGTTTTTTACTGATGTTCTGGAAAATACATGTCAGGATTCACATACTTGCTTATGACTATCATGAACAATCAGCATTTTGATAATGTGAAGAGAAAAAGTTATGTATTTCAAAACACTTGAAAAAACCTGTATTTACAGTATTGACTGTATTTATCCATATAATACAAAAAAGAGATAACCCAAAACTGGTATTTATCTTAATATTTAGGTAACATACTATGTGTCCTGCAATATACTGCATATGAATGTTCTAATCTATTTTGATGTTAATAAGTTGCTGTAGTTTGTCTCTTTGTTGTTTAAGTAGTTCTTTAATTTTAGTAAGCCCAGAAAAAGAAAATCTATGAAGCTGAATATTCTCTGTTTAATATAAACAGAGCAAGCTGGACTTTGTGTTGGGGATAAAATCACAGAGGTGAACAGTGTGAGCTTGGAGAACATTACAATGGGAAGTGCTATCAAGGTCCTGACAGGGAATAACAGGCTGCGAATGGTTGTGAGACGTATGGGCAAAGTGCCAGGGATAAAGTTTTCCAAAGAAAAGACTACATGGTAAGTTGAACTGCCAACTTATACCCATTGCCAGTTTGTACCCTTGTTGTCAACTATGTATAACCCAAAAATCACAATTGTACTAACTCAGACAAACATACTGGCTTCAGAAGAGCAGTGACCAAGGGATCAGGTTTCCTAAGATGCAAGGAAATGCGATTAAAGTGAACTGTGATAGGGAACCAGACAGGGAAAGGTCAAAGGGATGTGAGGTTATTGGGCTAAACTTCTTCTTCCAAAATGAATTACTTTAAAACTATGGTTAAGAGGGGGCTTCATTTGTATAATGTGAAGGTAGCATATGAAGATTATATGTGGGATGGGGGAGAACCACCTAATTTAATAAAAGGGAAAAGGGGAATTGATGAAAGAGAATAAACATGCTGCCTGAGATCTGGCTGAAAAATTGAGTCCATTGGAACTCACCGCAGCATACAAACTGGGCCCAAGTCATCCCCCTGTTTGGATACTAACTTGCTTTGCTTCAGCAAGGCAGGTGTGTCAGATATCTTCAGATCATGCCTTGGGAATTGGTAAGCTTCGGATAAAAAACAAAACAAAACACCTGTGATGAGAATATTGGGAGAGGGGAAGTCCAAGCCAGAATGAATTTCTTGATGACATTTTCTTTAAAATAATTTCCATCTATTATCAGCTCTGAAAATTCTCTGTAACATGTAAACTTGAATACAATGCACCATTTAATATCGGATTATGGTACAAAATGAAGACGTGATGTCAGTACTAGATATCAGGCAGTTAATATTTGATAGGGCTTGATAGGTAATTTGAAATGCAGTGTTATTTAATATTGGGCAATACAGACAATTGATATACATTGATGTATTACAGTAGTTTTTGAACTTCCTGACTTCAGAGGAAGTTTAGAGTCTTAATATCTATGCCATAAAACCAACAAAGTTCATAGAACTGGCATGGAATGCTCAGCTCATCCAGAAATGTATTTTAGCCTTTTCCTTTCTCAACTGTGTATTTAGAATTGGCTCTGACAATGGGATACATTTTTTATCTGATCATATTTGAATAATGTCTTGCAATAATAGCTAGTATGTAAGTTCATTTAATAGGTAAAAAGAACGGTTTGTGATAACATGCAACTGACAAAAATAACAACATGTATATAGTAGAAGCCTTTGAATTCATTTGTAATGTAAAAACAATTAAAAAAATAGAAATCAAATTAGTATTCAAAACACTTTAAATTCAAAACACAAAATAGTATTGAATTTGAATATCTGAAAATATTTATTTGTATTGAAGAAAAATATTTCCAGATGAGCAATTTATAATTCATTTCTGCATTAATAATTTATATGATTATTATTATTATTGTTGTTGTTGTTGTTGTTATTATTATTATTATTATTATTATTATTATTATTATTCAGTCATCACTGTAGAAATAAATCAGTAGTAAGGAGATGGTTTATTTTGCCACAACAATTTACTACAGTTCACTAATGCAGAAATGCTCTTGTCTGGCTACTGCTGTTCATATACTAGTACAACAGGGGTGTCAAACTGCCGGCCCATGGGCCAGACATGTCATCCAAAAGCTGCGCCCACCCCATTGCCAGCAATGGCAAAATTGTCCTGATACGTTGCGCGACGTCCTAATAATCGCGAGTTTGACATATCTGTAGTACATCCTTCCCCAGCCTGGATACTGTTCAGATAAGTGACTAATTTCTACAATATGGTGAGGAAATCTGTGAATTGAAATGGGAATTGAAGTCCATACTTTGAATGGCACCAAGTGGGAGAAAGCCTGCTGTCATTTGGTAATGGCAACAATTAGAAAATAAACACAGGTCAGCCTAGTGCAGGGGTAGGCAACCTTGGTTCTTTTATGAGTTGTGGACTTCAATTCGGCTGACTCAGGAATTCTGGGACTTGAAGTCCATAAGTCATAAAAGAGCCAAGGTTGCCTACCCCTGGCCTAGTGGAACAAGTTTTCATTCAATAAAACAATTTTATTTACATAATATAGGTAGTCCTCGACTTATGACCACAACTGAGTCCAAAATTTTTGTTGCTAAGCTAGATTTTGTTAAGTGAATTTTGCACCATTTTACAACCGACTTTGCCACAGTTGTTAAGTGAATCACAGCAGTTGTTGATTTAGTAGTGTGGTTGTTAACTGAATCTGGCTTCCCCATTGACTGTACTAGTCAGAAGGCTGCAAAAGGTGATCACATGACCCCCGGACACTGCAACCGTCATAAATATGAGTCAGTTGCCAAGCATCTGAATTTTGACCAGGTGACCCTGGGGAGGCTGTGACGTTCATAAGTGTGAAAAATGGTCACAAGTCACTTTTTTCACTGCCGTTGTAACTTCAAACGGTCATTAAATGAAGTGTTGTAAGTCCAAGACTACCTGTAAGACATATTTTAATTTATTCATACTATAAAGATATTTTAAGTTTTCTATTTTTCTTTAAAGTTATGTTTCTTTCCCTTTTATCCAAATTCCACTCTTCCTACCTGTAAGTTCTTATTTTTCTTTTACCCTCTAGCCATTGCTAAATATCCCATTATCAAGTGCTGATTTTATTTGGCCCTGTTGCTGCTCACCTTGTGGGAAAGTTTTCTTAACTTCAGTTAACTTGGCAAGCTATGAGGATGTTTCTTTCCCCTTGTAAAAATGAGGCTGCAGTCATGCTCTGTTTCATTGCTTACTGCTTGCCCCCCTCCACCTCATATTTGGATCCCTGCCAATATGTTGATTAGTCTTCAAAGTCATTAGGTTGTGTCACCATGTAAGTTTTAAAAATACTGTAAATACAAATAAATAAAATCATAGGTATTCCCTTCCTGCTCTGGCTTTACACATATAGAGGTACAGGAATAGCTCCTGCTCCCCCACCTCCTTTTTCTGCCATGTGTTGGGGAGTGTTGATTATATAAATAAGGATGGAGGGAATCACATATGCCAAAATGGGACTGTTTATATAAGTTTGAGGGCCACAACCGGATATGCTTGTGCATTTTGATCAGCCTTGATTGAAAATAACATCCACTCCCATGAACCTGGAATGAGTTATCTATCAAAGTGGTAAAAGGGCAGTTTGCAGGCCTTTTCAAAGACTTCAGCTGCTTAGGAGAAATTATTTCTTAATTCTTTACCTCTCACAGGGTTGATGTGGTAAATAGGCGCTTGATTGTGGAGAGGAGTGGCTCAAGTCCCTCAGATACCAGCTCTGAGATAGGAAGGCGACGCATCATCCATCTCTACACCACATCTGATGATTATTGCTTGGGTTTCAATATCCGTGGAGGGAAGGAGTATGGCCTTGGCATCTATGTCTCCAAGTGAGTCTTGCTCTTCCTAGAGCCTTCTCTGTTGAGTATTTCAGATCCTGATTTAGATTTAAATTTCACTTTAGCTGTGATGTTTCCTTTTCAGGGAAGTAAATTGCCTATTGCAAAACAGCAGTGCCCAAGATCTTCATTGGTCTGTTAGTGGCTGAATTGATAACCTCCACTTCGAACGCTGTTTAGTTTCAATGGGAGATTTTATGTTTTTGCAAATAGTAAGCATGCAGGGAGATGATCCAAACTGGGATTTCAGAGGGAACAAAACATTCAAAACCTGATCATGACTGCCATTTCAATTATAGATTTGGGCTAAGGCTTCCCCCCCCTTATAATTAGAATATAAATCACCCTTTAGGGCAGTGGTTCTCAACCTGTGGGTCGGGACCCCATTTGGGGTCGAATGACCATTTCACGGGGGTCGGCAAACAACGCAGTCCGCCATTTTTTTCCCCTTTTCCTTAGCTGTGCTACTCCCTTTTATTCTATTGGCTTTTGAAAGCCAATAGAATAGACTCTCTTGAATAGAGTCTAATTCTATTGGCTTTCAAAAGCCAATAGGAATTGTCCAGGCTGTCTCTGCCTGCTGAGCCCGCCAAAAGTCCCATTCTGCAAACGGTGCTGCACCAGTTGAGTAGTCCTCGACTTACGATCGGTTGAGTAGTCCTCGACTTACGACCGGTTGGGGGTCGCGGCATTAAAAAGGTTGAGAACCACTGCTTTAGGGGAAGGTAGAAAGGTTGGGTAGACATTATAATTATCAGTTTAATCACTTAATCCGTGATAATATAATTTATAGCATTAGCATGGGCCACCCTAACCCCATAAAGTGTTATCCTTTGGTCTTCCTTCAGCCCAATTTCTTCGGTTTCACTTATGGTTGATTTTTCAGAAGCCAAGAGGAACTGTATGTTTTTTTGGGTATACTAATGACATCCTCAGAGTCAGAGATGGGAAGACACTTCTATAAGCACGTAGCTCATGGTCTGATACAATCTGGGAATCTAATCATATTCAGCACTGTATAAGCTTGGATTTTATTTATCCAAATATTCTCTGTAACTTAAAGCATGTCATTATCTGTACTATAAAATATTGAATATTAGGAAATTTATCAGAAATGAATGTTTACTGTCTCCCACACTGATTGTTGGAAAAATGTGCAGGCTGTTATGTAGCTTTTCACAACCTATATACTCACCAGATATACTGAATTATAACTCACATTATTCATAATTATTTACAGTGGAAAATTTCAGTCATTGTCCAATATATCTGGTGAACACTAGGCTGAAAAACAGTTTTATTTATTGAATACTGACATCAAGATTGGTAGAATGCTATGAGAAAGCCGGAAGAAATTGACCTAGGGGAATTTGCCTTCCCATTTTTAACATAGACATTTTATTTCTTTTCAACATTGTTGCTCTCTTTCCCATTCTTAAAATGTGCCATTTTCTTCTGCTCCTACCTTGTTTGCTCAGGAAAAGCCTGATCTTTCTCTCAAATGCCCCCCTTGTGCTTGTTCGATGTTGTATCATTCCCAGAGTGGATCCTGGCGGGCTGGCTGAGCAACATGGGATCAAAGTTGGTGACCAAGTCCTTGCAGCCAATGGAATCAAGTTTGATAACATCAGCCATAGCAGGGCAGTGGAAGTGCTAAAGGGGCAGACCCACATCATGTTGACCATTAAGGTGAGGCTGATGCCTTCCTAAGTATTAGTCAAAAAAAAAAAAAAGTTATTGCAAGGGGTATTAATCATAGAAGGGCTAAGATTATCCAAATTATATCCCATTCTCATTGTTATTAAATAAATGATAGTTGCTAGGAGACAGAACTTCATCAGTTCTGGATTGGTGCAGACCAATCACCTCAGCCAGCTAAGCTTTCTAGTATACTTTTCTGCACTCCAAGTGTCCTTTTGCCAAGTGAATCCCTCCTTAAGTTGCTCTGGGACAAACATAGCAGATCCAATTTCATCTAGAAAAGGACCTAACCATGAGACAAGTATTTATTAGTGTTTCTCCACTTGGTTAGTATCTTAAGCTTTCACACATTGTTTCTCAGGCAGCAAATGACCCCATGACACATTGCATCTCTTCTATCCCTCCCTTCTAGGAAACAGGGAGATTCCCGGCATACAAGGAAATGGTGGCTGAATACTGCTGGCTCAACAGATGTAAGACATCTTTTCTGGAGAGGTGGTTGCTTTATTGAGGAAGAATAAGGGATGCAAATCAATCTGCATTTTTTCATTATTGGATTTCAGAAAACATTCTTTTGCTCTGCTACCTTTGTACATAAATGGTTCTACTTTAAGAAACATACATGAACCCAAGAACAGGTGCTGTGTTGCACAGAGAGATATTTATGGTGGCCAATTATCTCACCCCAGTAGGCTCTTTAACGTAAACACTTCCTTGCAATATCAAGGATCAGTATACCAGTGGGTATCACTGTTTATTTTTATCCTTATGTTATGATTTTTATCCTAATACATAAACTACCTAAAGCTGTCTCTGTGATTGAGGCAATATACAAACTGATGAGATGATAGATAGATAGATAGATAGATAGATAGATAGATAGATAGATAGATAGATAGATAGATAGATAGATATGAGAGAGATAAATATATAAATACATGTATGATAGATATTAAAATCAAAATATTCTACAATACCATGTAGATATCAATGGCACCCACATAGCTAACTGAATGCAGCAGTAGGAATGGCAATACTTGCATTATCTAGCAAAATAATGTTTTTTTTTCTTTATGCAAAATAAATATAGCACATTGAGTGCTGGGAAAACCAAACCAATGAAATGCATGAAATATGTACACCATGTGCAACAGCTATGTATTTGTTGTATATTGAAGTCCTCCTAACAGCCAACTTTTACTTTTTCTTTGCAGTGACTAATGGCCAGTTGCAGCAGCTGTCCCAAACCTCTGAATCCAGCTCATCCATGTCATCCTATTCCTCAGGGACCCCCTTAAGCTCCATGAATGGCCTATTTATGGCCCCAGTTCCCAGCTCAGCGGAAAGTTGCATGGTTGATGTTGGCATCTCCGCAGAATTGCCAGTTCAGAGCCATTTGTCACAGAGGGCAGAGACTGCCATGCAGACAGAACCATTACCTGATGGGGCCTTCTTTTCAGGGAGCCTGATCTCAGAAACCCAGAGGATTGTGCAGCCCATGGAAATCCTAAAAGACACAGCCATTCGCACAGAAAGCCTCAAAGAGTCCTTCCACCTAAGAAAGCACCAGCCATTTGTTAGCAAGGAAATCACAGAGCCATCCCCCAAAATGGCTCTTCTACTAGCGCTCAGTCATCCCCGTCTGCCCATTAAGCGATCACAGAGCTATCTGACCATCTGTGGTATGTGTCACTAAGCCATTATGTCTACCTCTATTTGATTATTTACAAGGATAGATTATCTCAAAGGGCAACACCACATAAACATCCAATTACTTTTTTAGCTCTATTACTAATTTGTTATTCTCTCTCTCTCTCTCTCTCTGTCACACACACACACACACACACACACACACTTCTGATCATCTTTGAAAATGGTAGCTATAATAGTTTGTTGAAATGATAATGCCCTGAGGGCTTTGGAGACAAGGCTCAGATGTCATGTTATTCCTATAGTTATGATCATCTGATTTGACTTCCTGGATTTCCCCCCCCCCCCAGAGGAAAAGCATCAAAGAAAGAAAGGGAAGCTCATATCATCAGAGAAGAAAGTCACTCTCCAGCGCTCCAAAACCCTGATGAACTTGTTCTTTAAGAGCACCCGACTAGGAAGGCCAAGCTCAACAACTGGATCCCTGGAATCACAGAGGCAGCCCCAATTACCTGCACAGTCTGATGGGGAGAAAGGTAATAAAAAGTCAGCTTTTTAAACAAATTGCCAAGGGCAGGGAGTTTTTCAAATCATAGGCTGTATGGAAGCCAGAGGATTGTCAGGGTTCAGTTTTCCGTTTTCAAATTTTCTAAAGGGCTAAAGTAAACATTGGAAACTTTGGGTCAGTAGGTCCTTGGTATACAAACAGTCATGTCTGGAGAAAGGTGCTAAAATCCTGTTCAAATGTTTTTCACTTAACTCATGCAAACAAGAGAAAAGATATCTGACAAATTGTACCCTGGCGTGGTAATGCTGCTTTCCTTGAATTTCTGATGCAATTGGTGGCAGTAAAAAAAAAAATCAGACTTACAAGCATCATTTGCATAAAAGAATGCAAAATAAGAGGCAAATATTGCTTTTGATCCTAAGCCCTATTTCTCAATCTTGGCAACTTAAAGAGAGAGAAGTCTGAGAGATGAAGTCCACACTTCTTCAAATTGCCAAGGTTGAAATACTCTGATCCAGAAGCTAGCTCAGAGTTAGCTGCCCTCCAGGGGCTATTAGATCTGAGCTGCAAAAATCTGGACAACCTGTTTTCTCCTAGGATTCAGAAAACACTTTTGGCTATATATATTTCATAGATGGCAAGTACTATGTACAAGTACTATGATAAATAGTACAGTGTAGTAGCTCTATGCCAGTCTCTGCTCGTCCACTCTTCTTCATTAGAATCATAATCCCTTTGCTGTCGGTCTTTCTCCCACTGCCCTTAACCTGCAGTTAACCTTATCCAGCAATTTGTGAACCGGACTTTGAAACGGGGTAAATGAACAGGAGTGCAGCATGTGCTTTGTGTAGTGTTCATATGTGTGCTTGGAAGTACGGAATGCTCAGTGCAAATTCAACGTTTGTTATTTACTTTCTTTAGACCTTGTCTTTCCATAATCATTAAGGCAGCGGTTCTCAACCTATGGGTCGCGACCCCATTTGGGGTCGAACGACCATTTTACGGGGATCGCCAAACAACGCGATCCGCCATTTCCCCCCCTCAGGGGGCGCCGCCGGGCATGCGCGCTGCGCATGGGGGTGCCACCGCGCATGCATGTCACACATGGGCGGCGCCGCGCATGCACATCGCGCATGCACGCCACGCATGGGGGCGCCACGCATGCACGCCGCACATGGGGCGCCGCGCATGCATGCCGCGCCGCGCATGGGGCGCGTCCGTGTGACAGGGGTCGCCGTCACACAAAGGTTGAGAACCGCTGCATTAAGGGAAGGCAGAGTATAAATTAAACTAATCTCTATACCAAAGCATATATTAACAATTTATTACAACATAAGAATTTGGTGATCTAAGGTCACACTTGTTACAATTTCGTTAGTTTGCATGCCATATTTGTTCATCTTCCATGACAAAACTTGTCATTGTTTTTTTCTACAATAGTCAAATATAAGTTTTCCTCTGGTAGCTGAATCATTATAAGTAACCCTTACTTGAGGATATTCTGGAAAGGACTGATTAACCTATCTAAATCCCAAGCTCATTTAGTTGACCTTCACAATTGTCCTGAATCATTTACAAAATTTCGTAAGGGCACAGGCAGTACATTAGTGTCTTGTTTTTTTTTTTCATGCTGGCGTGCAAAACTGAAATGGCATCATTCCATCTGGTATCTGTATCCATATCCTGGCTCTGATAATCTTTCATTAGAGGATTTTGTGTGAGAGGGTTATTGGAAATTGCATGCAGAAATCTGGCAGCTTATTCAGACATGAAAGAGCATGTGTGTGACTTGCAGCTGTGCGCTTCCAGGTTTAAGCAGAGCCAACATGTTTTGTTCAGTGCTAATAAAACATATACACTCCTTGACCTTCTTTGGTCATCCTCTCCAGGAAAAGGATGCTCCTTTGTGTCTTTGAGCTCCAAGGCATCTAACAAACACAGTGGTGGTGACAGCCACCTGCTGCTCATTGAGGACATGGCCAGGAAGCTGCTGATGGAAGATGAAGTGGCAGCTGTATTGCGACACTGCACCCGAGTAAGGAGCATCCCTCATGCATGCAAAGGTGTTCTGATTTAAATATCATGTGGGGATTTCCAGCAGCCTTCCAAGTACTGTCCTCTAATTGTGCTGAACTACCACTGCTGTAAAGCTTTAACTCAATGTTCTATTTTCTATAGTTTCTTGCAGAACAGTATTGCTTGGCTTGCTTTCTCGTATTTGAGATAATTCACCCAGAGCCCCCTGTTTTATAAATATACATCTATGCACATAGACAGTATACTTATATAGTGTGGGGATGCCTTAGTTCAGGATGCCTTAGATTAGCAAAACTTTTTTAAAAATATTTTTATTTAAATTAAATTATTTTTATTTAAATTAAATAGTAAAAGGGGGAAAAACACACAGACAATTATGGTGCAAATACATGCATTCTCAAGAAAAAAGGCAACACATAAAAAGTGTTTTTTAAAAAGTGAAAAAGAAACAAAATATATTGTTTTAACAGTTAACATGATTACAAAATATATAAATATTATTCAAATGTACATATACTTATTTCTAATACATTTATACAACTATCAATTTTTAACTTGCTGTATGTTGTATAAATGAGTTCCATATTTCATTATACCTGCCTATACAAAGTCTTATAGGCAATCCACTTATAGGTGTCAAGTGCAATTAGTTTTTCCATTCCTTGAATAAATGAGCCACATATATCTTTCTAAAGCTGTGTTATTAATCTTTAGGCCATAGTTAAGGCACGGAGAACCCATGTATGTTGTCCAATTGTCAAATTCCATATAATAGGTATATAATTCAAGAGAATATTCTTCTCTGAAAATTTTAGTTTTTGTTCAGATTAGCAAGCCTGCCAATCAAATGGCAGTATTGATTTTCACCAGGTTAAATTAGCTCTCCACAACTTTGTTTCCTCCAGGGAAGATTCCAGAAGTCCCAGCCTAATTTGGGCTTTAAACAAACACATGGGGTCAGGGATCAGGTTGGAGAAATTTTATTTAAACTACTGGCATCTCCCATTTCTCATCATCTGCAGAACGGCCATTAGAGGGAGCTTTGAACCAAGGCACAGTAGGAATTTATGTCCAGAGTGCTGGTAGGAAGTTATTGAAAGACACTAGTTTTCAAAATTTATAAAACATGAAAGAGAATGAAGGGAAAAGACAACTATGTAATTTTATATTTAATGCTGTTTGATGTCTAGTAATAGACTTAATATTTTCCCCTTAAAATGCCTGTGGGGATTTTATATTCCCTGAATTCCTGAAGTCAAACTATTGAATAGGGAGCATAAGTCTTAGGTGACACAGGTGGCCATCACACAAGTGATAGGGTAACAAGGATGGTTGGGGGGGGGGGGAGAGAAAGCAGTTCACACAATTTCCATACCAGAATAACCAAATAAAGCACCTATTCTTTATTTGATGTTGATCGTTTTTCCCTCCAAAAGTACATCCGAGAAGGAGGGGTGGAAGACCTAGTGAGGCCCCTGCTGGCAATTCTTGACCGTCCTGAGAAGTTGTTGCTTCTCCGAGATATCAGGTAAGAATAAGTTCAGGCATCCTGATCCCGGTTTGAGATCCCCTCTCTCCCCCTCTCTTTTTTTCTCTCTCTCCCCCTTTCTCTCTCTCTCTCTCTCTCTCTCTCTCTCTCTCCTCTCCCTCTTTTTCTCTTTCTCCCCCTCCCTCCCTCTTTTTCTCCCCCCCTCTTTCTCTCCCTCCCTCTTTCTCTCTCTCTTTCCTCTCTCCCTCTTTTTCTCCCTCTCTCTTTCTCTCTCCCTCTCTCTTTCTCTCTCTCCCTCTCTCTCCCTCCTTCTCTCTCTCTCTCTCTCTCTCTCTCTCTCTCTCTCTCTCTGATCTTCTGCTCACCTGGCAAGCTGTCTTCACTCTGTTCTCCAACAAGCTGACACACATTCTTATTAAGCTGGCTCTCTGCTGACCTTCCTGCTTCCTGCAGAGATGCAGCCAAGGCAAGAGTCCCGTCCAATAAGCTTGTCAGCTTGTTGGAGAACAGCGTGAGGCCACTCTCTTTTACACAGAGAGAGGGGGGGGGAGGGCAAGTGCCTCTCTCTGTCTCTGTCTCTCTGCAAATGGCGGAGGAGGGTGGGAGCCACAGAAAGCTCAAAGAGCCACATGCAGCTCCAGAGCCACGGGTTGCCGACCCGTGTCATACATAAACACATACACACACATGAAAAAAGGTATATAGGACACGTTTTAAGATACATTATTCAGTGGTGGGATTCAAATATGTGAACAATCCGTTCTCTGTGTGGATGCCGCTTCTCAAAGTCCATTCTGGGCCTGGGCAACAAAAAATTAGCTACCAGTTCTGCTGAACTGGTGCAAACTGGTGCAAACTGCACCTATTGCTGTGATTCTTTCAGCAATTTAATAGCCTTCCCCAAGCAGCTATCTTCTCAATGTGTTGGACTACAATACCTCTAACAGTCTTCCCCAAGCATCTATTTTCCTAATGTGTTGGACTACAGTTCCTATAATGCTTATACAATGCCTGCAGACATTATCTTAGGCAACATGACCCTTAGCTACTGTAGGTAATGGAATATGTATTCTTATATATCACGATTATGAAACTATGGTGGAATAATGTTATATGTGGGCTCCTTAAAATTGTGATTATGTTCACCCTTCAACATCTATATTATGTCTGCATTATAGATGCAAACACCTATCTGCATTATAGATCAATGATCCAGGATTTTCCTCCTTTTTTTTCAGAAATGTGATTGCCCCTACAGATCTTGGCCGCTTTGACAGTATGGTGGTGCCTCTGGAGATGGAAGCCTATGGTGCACTCAAGAGCAGAACAGGCGAGGAAGTCTGTAAGAATTGCATTTATCATCTTTATTTATATTGGGTTTATTTATATTGTGGATAGGCTGGATTTCAGAATTATCTCCTTTGGCTTTTTAAAAGTTTAAGTCTTATAAAAAGAATTTTCTGGGTGGATGACAACACTTAAAACAAATTGAAAACAGCAAAATAAAACACACTGATCAAAGATGGCACAAAAATAAAATAAACCAAAATATATGGATATGCATGGCGGAAAAGATTCCTTTACCTAAAGGTTTGTGACCAGGAAAAGAACATTTCAATTAATTTGGTCATTTAAAAAAATCCAGGTAAATAAAATTAAAACCTCAAGTCAGTTATTATTTGTCTGGATTGGCAATGCAGCCACAAGCTGTTTGCCTACTTGAGACAAAGAAGAAAATAGTGTCCATCTCCTATTCCCTGTGCAAAAGTCAATCAAATTAGTGTCAAATCTCTCTTCAACAGTTTCACAGCACAACAAGGAGGCGATGGCAGCTCTCTCTCCTTTTAATACTTTACTGCTTCCCTTCAGGATCTGTATCTACTGCATTTGCTTCTCTCCTTCATCTGTGAAAAATGGGAATGTGCTCTTCTTTTCCTTCCCTGCAGATATGATTCCCTTTCGAATAAACAATTATAATATCAGTCCCAGTCTATACAGAATGGTGATCAAAGACAGTGAAAGTTTAATTTCAATTCTTCAACCACTGCCAGAATTGGAACTTGCAGGGCCTTAGTACTGGAACTAATTCATATTGAATGGGGAGGGGCATCTATAAGCACATTTTGACTGCTTAATGCTCTGTGCAGTGCAGGAAACATGATAAGAGGCTTATCAACACCCTAGTATCACCAGCAAATCTTGACAATTAACAACCAGCCTTGCCTTTAGTCTGCTGTTTATGCCAATAATTGACCCTTGAAATGATGGCAAGTTAAAAGAGTACAAATCTTTTTTTCTTTTTCTTTCTTTCTTCCTTTCTCTCTCTCTCTCTCACACATACACAAACACAAGCATCTGGGAAGAAAGCATGACTTCCAAACAATTTTGAGCTGTGGAGATTCTACTGTCTAGACCAGGGGTAGGCAACCTTGGCTCTTTTATGACTCGTGGACTTCAACTCCCAGAATTCTGGGAGTTGAAGTCCACGAGTCATAAAAGAGCCAAGGTTGCCTACCCCTGGTCTAGATCAATGTTTCTCAACTCTTGGAGCTTTAATAGGAATGGACCTGAACTCCCACAATTCCCCAGACAGTGGAATTTTGGGAGTTGAAGTCCACCCATCTTAAAGCCACTAAAGTTGAGAAACACTGGTCTAGAAATTAACTACAAAGAGAAAGCCACCAAATACCACCTATTGCTGGAGTATCCAAAAATCTCAGAAACAGTATATAATATGGGAAAGAGAGTGAGACACTCTTTTTTTTTCTCTGTGTCTACAGTGAGATCACCTGCCCTCCGCCCAGCACAACATGAAACACCCCCAAAGAGACATCTTATCACTCCAGTGCCTGGTGAGTTTTTCTGTTAACTTCCCTTCCACCCTCCTGTCTCTCAAGCCGGTTTAGCTATAATTGTAACACAAGAGTTTGAATTCTAGACTTGAAGAAAATTATACAGATGTAATGATTGTGCACAACTTTAAATGTGCACACTTCATCTCAGACACTGCATTTGTTGTATGTATGTAGGGAATATTTTTTATAACTGGATTTATAAAATAAAAAGTAAGATGGCAGATGTGAACAATGTGACTCTGCCACTTAAAAATAATTCAAAGAACAATTAATTTGACAGGAATAGTGTTGAATCAAAATACTGTTAGCATATCTGGTATAAGCTGGCAATACTACCTACCAAATATGCCACAAGGGGGTGATCTGAATTTGATTAACTAGGGGGGAACTAATACACACACAGAGAGAGAGTAACATGCTTATATGTTCAATATCTGGGGCCAAAATTTCACTCCAAGACCTACACAACAGTAATGTTCACTTCAAGCAGCAAATACTGGATATGTCCCCTTCTGTAATTTTCATAATACTGGGGGGGGGGGGAGGAAATGATAATGATCTAATCTTGTGAATCTGGTTACAGATTTCAGAGGTAGTTTTCTTCTCAAACCAGTGATGACCAACAGGGCAAACGGGGAGGAGGAACACAAGGAGATACTGAAAGATGCCATGGAAAGGCTGCAGCTCTCTCCCAGACATGGACAGACTCAACCTCAAAACTATATTCCTCTTGCTGATGTGCCAGTGGATGCCTACACTCCCAACAGGGTCTCTTCCTCGGTGACCAGTAGCAAGGAACCCCTATGGAGTCTAACTAAACCTACAAAACCCTCAATGAGCTCCCTACACACTGTATCCTCTCAGGTGCAATCCCTGGAGCATGGACAACCTAGCAGAGGGAGGCCTCCTTCTTCAAAATCAAGCCATAGACAGGCTGTAGCATGGGGACCATATGAGGAAATCTTGCCTGGCAGCGATACCCTCTATTCTGTTATTAATCGACCACGCAGAGCTAGGCCCCTGCTCTCACAGCTCTTCAAGGAAACCTCAGCTACTAGCAAGGTAATGCAAGCAGAAATGGGAGAAGAGATCCCAGAGAACCCGCTCCAAAATGGCCCCAATGACAAGGAGGAGGAGGAATATGAATTGGTGACTGTCAGCCTATCCAAGAACAAGCAATCTCTGGGTAAGCAGACCTCTCTAAGTTGAAATGGAGAGAAACAGACCTATTGCTAGGCAGAGTGAGAAGCCTCAGCAAATCACATTTGGTGTCATAAATGGATAGCAAATTGTGAGTTATTACACTGGTAACAATTGTATTTGTTCTTACTTTTCAGGGACTTCTCTGCTTTCCTGCCTCATGTGCCAAAATAACTTGAGCAATACTTCTTTAGTAGTCAAAGATAGATCATGGGGAAAAATAAACAGGGAAGAAAAGGAAAGAATGAAAGTAGAGTGAAAGTAGAAGAGCTTCAGGGAGAGAAAGTAGGACTCTTCTGATGAGAAAGTATGAGAAGATAATCTCCTAATACAAATATATGGGATGTAAGGAAAGGCAACATGGAGGCTGCTGGGACAAAGTATAAAAAGTGATAACAGAGGCATGTGGAATTTTCTATAAGGAATACTGGGCAGCCAGTGATCTGTTGGGTCATCCTTTGAGAGAAAGGAAGTGCAGCAACCAGAAGGAACATTAAATATTAGAATGACCATATTTTTTATTCTAATACTGAATGGTGCCATGATCATGTAAGAAGAGTATATATCATAAATAGAAAAATAATTGTAGTGGCAAATGAACTTCAATAATAAATCAGTATTTACTTACCTAATTATATAAACAGAATAACCACAGGGGGGTGGGGAACAGTGGGATTGGGAATAAATCTGACTTCCTAATGGTTTCCCCATTGATTTTGCTTTTGGGAAGATGGCAGGCAGTGTTGGAAATCATATTCACACGACTGTAGGGACATTGCAACAGTCACAGTTTTGCAAATAAAACTGTTCTGAACCTTGTGGAAATTTCAGTTCCACAAGAGTAATGGGTTCTATAGTTTTTACGTTCTTTAAATTAGTGGATTTTAGATATCTTGATTCAAAAATGGTTGTGGTATAATGTACCCTTTGGGCTAATATAAGGGTGCAAACAGACAAATAGATAAAGAAAATTAGATTTTTAGTAGTATGCAGAAGAAAATATTTTCTTGTTGGAATTATGATGCGAAAGCTGTAATGAGAAAAGAAATGCATGTAAAAGAATGAATTCTTGAAAAATGAAGAAAAACAGAGGATACTGTGCAATGCTTACACAGAGAAAAGGATAGTAAGAATGTAATCAAAGAGAGCAAATAATGCTTAAAACTAACAAAATAGAGCAGGGATCTCCAACCTCCAGTCTGTGGCCAGTTTGGAACTGGGCTGTGCAAGTGGCGAGTGAGCCTGCAAGCTCCATTTGTACAAGTGGCAGGTGCTCACGCTCATGCAGGAAGCTCTATTTGTGCAAGCAGCAGGTGCTTGAGCACGAAGCTCCATTTATGGGAATGTGCCGCCACTTGTGTAAATGGAATTGCATGCACGAGCATGCACATCTGCTGCTTGTGCGGAACCGTCCCTCTCCCCCCCCCCGCTAGTCTGCAAAGCCAGAAAGGTCAGAGATCCCTGAAACAGAGAACATGTAAAGCTACTTTGACTGAAATTTTCAAAAACTTTCAGAATTGGGTGAAAATGAGGGAATGGAATTAAGAATAAAAGTGATAAAATGATTGGGAAGTAGGTATGGAAATGCTAGAAGAATCATTTTGGAGATTGTGAATTATTTTAGCGTATGAGATTGTGATAGGCTGAAGAATGCAATTGAAATAAATATTATAAAGATTGGTCTCTAAAAAAATGACAAGAAGTATTAAATATGGAAAGAATGTTTAAAAATTGTAAGGCTACAGATGTTAGTAGGAGCAATGTCAAAATATGGATGGGGCCTGGTTATATGGAAAGGCTATGTGATTTTTTATGTATGTTTGAAGCTTGCATCCAAGTCAGAGAAATGCTGTTGTTGTTCTCTTATAGAAAGCACAGGGTTAAAAAAATGAATGTAAAAATTATAGCAGGATTATTTTTTTTAAGTATGTCTTCGGAGAGGTTTGGTAGAATTCTACTCAAAAGAATTTGAAAGGTGATAACAAACAAATTTTAGAAATGTGCTTTCATGTCAAAGCAGGGGATGTGCAGATCAGACTTATGGTCTTCAGCCGATGACTGGAAATATATGCATGAGATAAAGTTTGTTGCATAATAAGAGGAACGTTTTGATAATGTCTTAAATTATGGAAGGGAAGGAAGGAATGGAATTGAACAATGATTGCTAACTGTGGTGAATGCATGATGGTAGAAATAAAATAAAGTAAATGTGTACCTTTCTGTGCAGACATGATGTTGTGTGGGTTGATAATCCAAAAGATTTGCAGCAAATGTTAGACTGTATGAAGCAATGAGTACTATAGAATTGAAAATTAATGAATCACAGACCAGCTAGTCCAAAAAGAACAATTGCAAGCTATACACAAAGACGAAAAACTAAAACAAGTAGATAAAGTATGATGATGCTATGTGTAAGGGTGCTTGGGCTCACTTGCAGAAATAAGAGTTGAGTATGTCAGAAAAAAACAAAAGTGGGTAAGGGTTACTGAAGAAATGTGATAAACAAAAAGAGATAGGGCCAAAAATGAATGGGTACTAAATGATTGTGGACTGAATACAAAAGTGAGACTCCAGTACAAAAGAACTTTTGAGTGGGTCTTATAAAGAGAATGAATGAGGATTGATTTGGGAAAAAAGAGTGAACAAGATGAGAGCAAGCAGAAAACTGAGAAAGTTTATAAGATCGTGAAGAAGAGAGTGTGAAAGTGTATATAAAATATAGTAAAAGTAAGGATAGTTTACTAGGAAAAAAAGTTATGAAAAAATTTGGTGTTGGTGCCAATTAGATTGCTCTTGTCAAATCGGTTGGAAGAAATAATATTGCCATTTGCTGATTAGTACAGAATCCTTTAAACTACACATCTCTCTGGCCTTGACAGCTCTCTCATAAGGAAACAAAGTCTGACTTGCGTAGTTCTTGTGCGAGAGACTAACAGGAAATCCCAGTTCAGAATATGAGGTTAAAAAAACATCCTGGAAGAAGACAATGACAAACTATTTCTGTATAGTGCAAAAAAAAAAAAAAAATTATGCAGGCTTGTTGGCGAAGTCATCAGTAGCCAAGTTTAATGTGCAGAATGCTTACTTTTAAGATTGGTGTAATTCTATCTTTGAGATGGATTTACAGAAGCTCAAACATACCACCACTTTCTAAATACTCACAGCACTCTTTGTTTTCCAGGCATCAGCATTTCAGGAGGGATAGAATCCAAATTGCAGCCAATGGTGAAGATTGAGAAGATATTTCCTGGGGGAGCAGCATCTCTGAGTGGAGAACTGGAGGTAGCTGAAGCAGTAGGGAAGGGAAAATGGGGATCTGTCACTTCTACTAGCTCAGTGTTTCTCAACCTTGACAATTTTAAGGCATGTGGACTTCAACTCCCAGAATTCCACAGCCAGCACTGCTGGCTGTGGAATTCTGGGAGTTGAAGTCCACATGCCTTAAAATTGTCAAGGTTGAGAAACACTGTACTAGCTGGCCAAATAGGAGGTCCAGATGCTCCTTGTTTCTTCCTTTAGCAGCTTAATGAAATGTTCTAACACCATGATCAACTTATTCCATTGCTACAGCCATCCATATTACATAATGAGCGAGCCATTACAGATTTCAGTAATTATATTTTTAATCACCTGCTTGCAAACTTGTAGTAACAGACTTTAGTTTCTCCAAGTGTTGCATAGATCATTTTCTTTCAAAAGAATTTTTTTATCAATTAAACTCCATAAATTAATTGCTTCAGAAACTCTATTGAAAACTACACTTCTTCACACATCCAGCAGGACAGCAGCAGTCCTACTCTTCTTGTCCCATTATAGCAATATTATAGATGTAACTGATGCAAAATCACTCAGGAAAATAAATATTGGAACAGGGAACATCACTTTGCTGTCTTGACTGGACTATATTCTTTGCCTCTCCTTCTCCTCTGGCACTATGCGTGCTCATCTCGCCCTATCCTACATATATTTATTCAAAAATAAGACCCACCATGTTCATGGGGGCTTCTTCACAACATCAACCCATGTATGAAATTATGAAATAATTAGTAGTTATGTTCTTACCATTGCACACTGTCCTTACTGTATTCCATTTCTGTAACTAAAATGGTGAGTAATCTATTGATGTGTTGATATACAACTTTAATGTAAAATGCACGTTGCATAAGTAGAATTGATTGATTTTTCTGGGAGAAGAAAAAATAGTTTTAGTTATACAATCAAGTTCTCAGTTAATCAAATTAATCTTGCAAATGTAGCAATTCTATCATTATACCAAGAGGGGACAATTTCATAACCATACCCTGAATCTACTTGTTTTTTTAAAAAAATCAGCCTACCTTTCTCTTGTAATATAAGGTACGTTTAAATGTAACCAAGCTAAAGAAATAAAATATAAAAGAAAGAGGTATCAACTTAGTAGACAGAGTTTAGAACGACTCTACAACTTGCCATTTTTATTTTGGATTATTCAGTCTGGTATGATTATTCCAGATTGTCCCAGACCTGCAGAATGAGGATAAAAATGAATTGATCACAATGTGAACAAAACTTTATGCAGAATCAGATTCAGATTTGAAGGACTAAAGAGGACAATTGATCATCTTCCCTCCTTCTTCTGACCGCATTGAAGACTTTGCTGTTTTTTCATACCGCAGCCTGGCCATTTTGTTCATTTAAGCTGATTCCTATCCTACACGAAACAAACTTCATTGTGCTTTGTAGCTAAGGCCTAGCAACATATACACCCATTGTGCCATTCAGGGTCCCTCATAGTTCAAGGCACTGTGCAACATTTCCCAAGGCCTCTTTAATGAAGCTGGGGGTTGACAAAGAACCATTGTGGACTTTGGCCAGCCTGCCCGCCCACCAGGCTGCTCTAATTAGATTTTCTTCTTTGGGGCCTCTTTCCTTTAGGGGTTATAGGTCTCGTTTATACTGATTTGGATTAAAGCCACAAATGGCTTTAGGATGCTAGGGCAAATGGGAATGGGAGTGACTGGTAAAAACACAGGTGAAACCCCTTTGCAGTTCTTAAACTTCACTAGAATCTAACCTATTAACTGGAACTGGCCAATACAGTCCTGTAATGCTAGTGTTTTAGTGGCTTTACAGGTATCCAGCCTATTCCTGAACCCAGTTTCAAGCCTTGGCACACTTTTTTCAAGCCTCTAGCATCTGCGAGCTGTTCTCAGGAGTACAGAAAGGGGTTGAAGGCACTTCTTGCAGTTTTCTTCTTGCTTTAGATTGTAAAGGCTGATCAGATTTGCCGCTGAATGGAAATATCAACGTTTGAGTTGGTGAAGGCCGATACCTAACAGGACTTTGCCAATTTCCAAGAATCCTTAATCCTGGTGTCTCTTCTGCTTGTTCTGGAAACAGTATAAGTATAAAGGAGCTTGTGGAAATTAGGACTAAGAAAACCTTTAATTTCCTACTTATTTACTCAGGGTTGAAGTGAAGGTATAGATTAGGAGTTGAGAACAGGTTAGAAGATCCAATTTGGGATCTTTTTTGGTGACCCGGAGATGCCAATTTATCTTGAACTAATTTAAGAGCCTGCTCAACCCATTGCTATACCATTTAAATGTTGGAAGGATTCAGATTAGGCTTCAGAAATACTATCAGTACTAATTGAACTATTCACTAATATTAGTGCTTCAAAATTCCCACGTCTAATATATACAGGTAGTTTTTGGCTTATGACAATCGAGTCCAAAATTGTGATTACTAAGCAAGGCAGGCGAGTGAATTTTTTTTGCCATTAATTGTTAAATGAATCACTGCAGTTGTTAAGTGAATCGTGTGGTCATTAAGTAAATCTGGCTTCTCCCATTGATTTTATCAGAAGTCAACTGGGAAGGTTACAAATGGCAATCACTTGACCCCAGGATAATGCAACTGTCATATATACATGTCAGCTGCCATGCGCCTAAATTTTGATCACATGACCATGGGAGTGCTATGATGTTCCCAAGTGTGAAAACTGGTCACAAGTCACTTTTGTCAGTGCTGCTGTAACTTCAAATAATCACTAAACAAATGGTTATATGTCGAGGACTATCTGTAACCAATGATGACACATCAAATCTGAAAAGGGTAGAATTGTAATTTGCTATGCTTTTGCTGTTTTTCATTTTTGTCCCATGCTTCTTTTGTTTTTGCTAGGCTGGCTATGAACTGGTTGCAGTAGAGGGAGAGAGTCTACAGAATGTAACACACCAGCGAGCTGTGGACATAATCCGCCAAGCCTACCGTAACAAAGCTAAGGAGCCCATGAAGATTGTGGTGAAGGTGCCGAAGAAAATCAAATAAATATTGCAAATCAAGCAGTTTACCCTGAAGAATGTGGTCAGTTCAGAAATCAGACAGTGCTGCAATGCTAGTGTTAATGAAGAATCTGTTTAACTATACCTGCTTATTGTTCAGAAAGATATGGCACTTGGGATACAAATTGGTAGCAGTTACTAAAATATCTGCCAATCAGTAAAGCTTTCAGGCTTAATGGAGCAAGTAATAGTTTCCCAGTTCTAGAGAGGCCTGGTTGGAACAGGAGCAGGCAAGAGATCACATTGCCCAATTCAAGCAACAAATATTGTTTCCAAAACTACAGTTAGCTGCAAGTGGACAGCTGTCATCAAGAGCAATTGTTTTGAAATGAGCTGGCATCTCTATGGAGGAAATATTGTTTTTGACATTCCGATCCACCCCAGTTGATACTTCTAGATGATAAGGCCATCTCCAGCTAACTGGAGCCAGAAGGAAAAGACTACAAAGAAAGGTCAATATTTGGTCAAAGGGATATTTGTTAACTCATGTTCAGTAATGCACCATAGCATTAAATTTAATAAATTTACCTAGACTCGTGCATATGTAAGTGAACCATAAAGTTTGAAAGACAATAATCCAGTATCTCAGTTTGTAAATTCAAGACTCTGGATATAATATTCTCACTTGAATCTCCTTAAATACATTCTTGAATGAATAGCAAACCTGCAGTGATCCCAAAAAGAACACGCAACAAAGAGATAGTCATTGTTTTATATCCGGCCTCAAAATTACTCTCAGTGATTAAAGTGGTGCAAGTCACCAAGGTACATAGACTGAAAAAGTCAAATTACTGCTTTTATGGTCTTCTCTAAAAGCCAGATCCAACAGTGTCTTCAAGATCACCTAATTAAGAAGATTAACTAAAGAATATTGCTATCATTATCTCACTCCTGAGCTAAAGTAACTATTGTGGATCAACACTGGCTGATTTCCAGATCAATATTTCTGATATGAAACAATTGTCAGCCGTTTACAAAGTGCCACCACCAGCCAGAGTGGAAGAAAAAATGCAATAGTGGTAGAAGTTCATTTAGACCCAGTTTTTGTTTTTAGACCCAGGAACAAGAGCAGGAATGAGAAATTACTAAGCGTACTCTGTGCTAGATATCAGATAAATTTTCATCTCTGCCTTTGTCCACCATTAGAATAATTCCACCCTCTGCTCATTCTTCCACATTTCATTGCCCCAGCCATCAAATTTACATGTGACTTTTCTCAAAAGAAAACAGACATTTTCTTAGTTTTTTTTTATTTCACACTTTTCTTTTGGTTTTTACAAGAAATTTACACCACCTGGAAAATATACAATTTCAGAAATAAAGTAAAAGAAAAATATACAGTGGTGCTTAAAGTGGGTTAAGCAAGAGGTATAGGTTGCTAATAATTACAGAAGTAACATGCACCAAGCTTTTCCTTTGGTCTAATGTTATTTGTCTCAACACACCCATTTTGCAAGCTCCTCTCATAACAATGAGCAAAAGGGAACACTGTCTAGAAGTGAACCGAGATTGCCTCTTCTCTTGGAATGCACAGAATTTCCAGAGTGTAGCTAAATGCCATCATCCTCTTGCAAATAGTCCCAAACTCTAGCTGGGCTACACCCTTCACAAATGTTTGTCTGTTCATTTTTTTGCGTGAAGAAGAACAAGAGGACTTGAAGCAAAAGTTACACTAAGGTAGCAGAAAGCAGCTGCTCTCTATTCTAGCAATATGGCAGTTCTTCCCAGATTGGCCTAAATAATCGGTATGCTGTACTTTGGCTGCTTCCAGCCAAAGCACCAATTCTGGGCAGTTGACTTTTTATAGCCAGAGGAAAAAGGCTAACAAAATCTAACCAGGCTGACATAGTGAGCATGCCTTGCACTATCTGGTTTGATTCCCATGGGTTGGAACCAAAATATAAAACCTGCTCTGAGGCTCCGTTATTCAACCCCACTGATCCAAATCTCTTCAGCTTCTTGTAACCTCAAGGAAGTTTGTTTACTTAGCCTGAAAAAAAGAACTCGCATCTCTCCAGCAAAGAGAGCACATCAGTTTGTAGTTAACTGGCTATTTTGTCAGCCAAGTTCCTTTGGGAATGGCTTTTCTGCAGTCCATAATTCTGACTTACCCTGTTTCACTGACCATTTTTCTCCTGAGCATACATTGGAAGACAAAGAGAGGAGGTCAGTTAACAATTTATAGCCCCCCCCCACATCTTTTTTTTAATAGAAATCCAGATGGGTCCACGTTACCCTCTGCAAACAGAACTTTTTTTCTTTGAAAGGAGCTCCTTGCAGTTGTCACTGGCCTGCGAGGGTAGGAAATCAGCAGTAGGTCTGGACTGAATACCTACTGAAGTTATTGTATCCAAATGCAATCAATAAACTTGGTTCAAGTATAGATGCATGGACAGCTTTAAAAGAGAGGAAGCTGCACAGACTAGGAACCATATTCTAGTATGCAATTAGTCTTGAGCATATTACAAAAGTAGACAAGTAATTATTGTACCTCAACAGGACAGACTGCCCTGCAAACATTTGTAGGACTTCACAACGATCATGGTTCAGACTAGACCAGATCTCGCAAAAATCATGGGAAGGGAATATGGATGCCTGGGAAACTGAGCATCTGGAACTATAGAGGATACTGTACAAGGCTATTATCAGGGAAATGCAGGAGATTTAAACTCAGCCATCTTTGACCCTGAAACGAACAGGACGTGGATGTTGTTGGATAAACAGGTAGAGGCTGGATGAAGGTGAGTGGTGTGAGAGACATACCCAGGCAAGCAAGATCATGATAAAGACACTCTGAGTGGCGTTCCAACAAAGACAGAAAGGTAAGTAAGAGAAAGTGGAAAGTCATCCAGATCCCATCATAGCAAATAGGTATGCTATGCTTAGACTTTTTTTTTTTTTTTAAACTCACCCTTCAAGAAGGGGAAGGAGGGTAGCAATGGCAATGGAGCCAACATATTTGGTATAGAGCTGGGATGAAGGGTTGAAAGAAACAGATATTCTGGATTTTTTTAAAAAAAACAAAGAAATTAAAATAAGTGCACAAAATCTAGTGCCTCTGAATTCCAACCTTTTATCTGCCAAATTTTGGTGCTGTAATCTAGAGATAGGCTCCTGGGATAACCAAATAGACCCTGAGTCTGTTTTAAGAATCTTTGGCTTTTATAATACACTCCTATATATGCCTACCGAGAAGCAAGTCCCACTGAGTTGAACAGCCTTACTCTCAGGTACGTCTATACTATGGATGCAGCAATATGTTTGGGGGGAGGGGGATTAGGTGAGAGAGAGAGACTAGGTCTGTTTCCACAGTACTGGAGTCAATATGCTTTCCCTTAAAAAACACTTGGCATAGGGTCTTCCTACAAAGCTTTAGGTGGGAGAAGCCAAAGGACTGCAAGTATTTTGTAATATATTTTTTTTTTTGGCTTTTAAAAATAACAGAATTTGGAATACTGAGAATCAGCTCTGAACCTAATATAATTTATTAATATTTTTGTCGTATAAAAAGAAATAAGCTTGGACTAATGCCCAGATCCCTAATTCTTTGGCCCACATCATCTATTGGCCAAAGAATTGCCTACAAAGGTCCTTGTCCTTCATAACTACAAGAAGCATGTGCAATAGAGGAAATAAATGCAAATGTATTTCATATGCATAGTAATAGGGTCCATAGTACAGGTTTCGTATGCATTTACGTGTTTGGATTTCAGAAAAGATACACTTCACATACAGCAGAGAAGTGGGCTAAAAATCCAAGAAAAGCCTTGTGTAGACAAAGCTTCCTCAGCCAGTCTAAAACCTGCATCTAACTGGATTAGCAGCTAATTAGCTGTTGAACAGCCAAATCTCCCAAAATTCAGCAAGTGATGACTGACAGTCCATTGGGTCATTACATAAAGGTAACAGAAGAGCAGAATAGAAGCAAAAGTGCTCTACACAATTCTGGCATTCCCATCCATGCTAGTCTCATCTCCAACTAACCCAAAGAGCAAGAGGCAAGTGGTGATTCCCAAGGTCTTATGGAAAGCTAATTAACATTGGGACTTGAAAGGCAGCACCACTTAACAGCCTCTTGCAAAAGCAAAGGCTATTCCTGCTTCATTTCCAGTGAAATGCTGGAACAGAGGCTGCTGCTGCTGCTGCTGCTGCTTTCAAAGGAAGGATTTGAACTTTCCTTCTCTTAGGTTGACCAGGAAATCTTTAACCAGGTCTTCCTATACCTCCTAGAGTTAAGGCCAGCTGCCTAGTTTCAGACACTATTCTACTTTTAATAGCCATTAAACTGTTGACCTACTGAGAGTTCATGACCAAGTTTAAGTGACAGAACAAGTTCTATCACTGGGATTTATGACTGGAAAGGCAGCTCTTTCCACTACTGAACTAAGGCTCACTGCATTCTCACTTGCTCAGTCAGACAAAATCCCAGGGAAAAATGCTCCAGCCTGACCAATATCCTTTTGTGGCAGTGTGACCCATTCAATACGGCTTCCACAGGCATGTTCAGATCTCAGTAGCTGCAATCTCCTCCAAGCAGATGCCTTCACTTCCATGCAGCTCATATTCATCCATGTCCCGCGCCTCGAGTTCAAGACTGAGATGGCGCAGTTGGCACTCTAAATCACGATTGTGCCGATACATCTGGATGTAATTATGCTGCAGTTGCTTCTGGTAGCGGATGACCCTGTCCTTCTCACTTTGCCAAGTGATACGCTCAGCCTGGAAAACCTCCCGTTGCTCCTCCCCACGGCGTCGCTCACACAATAGCTCTGTGCGTAGCCGTTCAGCTTGTGCACGCAAACCCTGCAGGGTATCCGCTGCTTGTCGCTGAGCTTTTACCTCATCGCATTCAGCCATCAGGGGACAGAGTTCTCCACTAGTGCTGCGCAAAGTATCTAATTCGCGCTCCAACCGCCCTACCTTCTCACGCAGCAGCTCTGCTTCACTCTTGCGCCTGGCCAACTCATTGGCACACACTTCTAATTCCATTGCCTTGGTACGGGCCATCTCCTGTAAACTCAAGGCCTGTTCTTCGCTTGTCTGCAGATCAGCCCGTGCTTCTCTCAGCTGGGCCCTTAGTAACACAAGCTCATTACCCCGCTGCACGACCTCTGCCTGAGACTCCTTCAGCTGTTGCTTCAGCAATGAGATCTCACCTGACTTCTGGCAAACCTGGTGGGAAGGAAAAGAGATATAAGATGACAGGGAACATGCCACAATGTTCCATTTCAAGTTCAGCCGAGCTAAGATCTGATTCTGTGATGTGAATGATGAGAGTACCTGTTTGTCTTTCAATTCAGGAACAAAAATGGACTCGGGCAGATCACAACTCAAAGTTGCCTTCAGGTCAGCAGAGAATGAGATTGAAAAGACTTCAAACAACCCAATAACATTCTCCTGTACTTCTCCGTAGATCAGCAAAACAGAAAGTATTTCAGGGTAACAGAAAATTTCTTCTCTCATTATTTCCCCTGTTCTGCTGTCCTTCCCCACATTATTTCTGTTGGAATATTCATGAACAGGAAGAGTCATGTGGTAACTCAGTCAGCCAATGGGAAGAAAGTGCTACTGAGTCTGTGCAAAAAGAGTATTGAGTTAGGAGCTGGATTTCCAGTCTCAAGGTTTTGTATCTGGTCTGTCTCTGTTAAGAACTCTTCAATTAAGCTATGTTGCTGTAAAGAAGAATGGTATTGTAAATATTTTATATAAATATAAAGTTATTTGAATCAGCTAAATGCAGTCAACTGTAAGAGCTTCTGATTTATTTTTCACCAATTAGAGAAATTAAAATTCTCTAACAATTTCCAATACCATTACCAGAATATTATTAAAAAGTGAGTGTTTGTTTATCTGGGATGATATTAACCCTTGCTTTATTTAATTTTTTTTTCTTTTTACAATTCTTTAGTCCCTTATTTCATGGTAGAGTCAGGATAGAGCTTGAGTGTTTACTGGCAGGATGCCCTTCCTGGCATCTACATGGAGCAGATATTTTTTGTCTTTGTGTTCTAGGAGAGAAACATCTGCCACTAGCTAGGACTGAACTCTCAACCTTCTGAGAGGGAGGTGCGCATCTTTACCATTAGGCCACAACACTGCTCATTTAATCACAATTAACTAAGTAAAATACAGTTGGTTGAGAGATAAAAATCTATACAAAATAGAATCATATTTTATGACTTAATATAATGTGTGTTAGAGAGTGAGAAAGTCGATGGGAGTGCTAGTGTGACCGATTTGGAAAAACATTTTAAAAGGTGGTGCAGTATAATTCTACGGTACAACCGGAAAAGTAAGCTTGATCTCTCCAAACTGTCCTTGTCTAGCTGGAGGGAGAATGAGAATCCCCATTCCTAATGCTGATGCCTCGTTCAGTTCCACGGCTTTCAAGAACTATGGAAGAGCATCCCTCCCACTTACCTCCCACTTGGTCTCTTCCAACCGGGGGCCCAGCTCGGTGTGTTCCCGCTCAAAGTTGGCACAGCGTTGCTCCAGCAGCTCACGCTCTGCCAGCAGCTGCACAAAATCCTCCTGGAGTTTCTTCTTCTCCTGCTGCAGCTGGTAAATCTGTAGTTGCAACACCTGCTGACTACGCTGAGCCTTTTGGGCTGATTGCTGCAGCTTAGCATTGAAGCCCTGCCGGAGCTCTTCCATCTCTTCTTCACAGCGTCTCTGTTTTTCCTCATATACCTGGAAGGAAGATGGGGAAAACCTATGTTAGAAACTAGCACTGACATATAACCAAGTCCTTGGATTCTTCAGTTCATCACAGAATAGTCCCTTTGTATCCTGGGCTTTCTGTAACTGTGGTCCTCCTTCCCAAAATTTACCTCAAACAAGGAGGTCAATGTTACTTCTTTGCAGAACTGTAGCTCTTTTAAGTTCTAAGAAAGACAGTAAGTTGTGGGCAGCCTGTTAAAGAAGACCCTGGACTATAAATATTAAAGGAGGACAGAATTATACATCTAAGAGTGCCACAGTTGTTGTTTCGAGACAGAAAGAGAACAAAGTTTCAGAAAGAGACCAAAACAGAGATGAAAATAGTGCAAAAACAAAAACAAACAAACCATGATCCAGAGGGTGAAGCAAATAACACTGAGATCTATCTGACCATTTTAAAAATAAAAGCAAGAAGAATAGAAATATATACAGTTCTGTATGGTGAAGAAATTGGAAAGGAAAAATGGTTTTACATCTTTTCTAACATTACTCTCTGAGATTAACCAGTGAAACTGAACAAGGGAAGATTCAGGAACCAATGTTTATTTTCATAGTACCTAGTTAAACTGAATTTTATTACAAAATGAAGTGATGAGAGCTACCAACTTAGATGGCTTTAAAAGGGAATTAGACAAATTCATGAAGCACTTCACTATTAGTCATGATGGCAATATGCCACTTCCAAGATCAGAAGCAGCATGTCTTTGCCTACTAAGATTTTCAGCACATAACAAAGCTATAAACACTGACATCTAGCTGACCACACTGAAATGCAAGATTTTAGACTAGATAACTTTTTAAATGCCCAATAACGGTCTTCTTAACAACAGGCTTATTGGCAAGAAGATTTTGGATGTAGGTACATGCAACCATTCTTAGGTCACATTAGATCTCAGCAGAAATACTCCAAAATTAACCACCCATATCATAAATGATAATAAAATTATAAGATAGATTCCAGGAATTACTTATATAAAGGAAAGATCAAAGGGATAAAAGTTGAAGCAGCTAATAATTTTCACAATGATGAAAATTAAATCATATTGCTAATTAATCCTTACAGAGGACAAATTGTTTTACAGCAGTATTCCACTCAGTGCTGTAAACATCCACCCTTTTTTTCCATTGAAGCTGCCAAAAATAAGGGAAAAACAAATCTGGCACTTGGCCTATCTGGCCCTC